CGAACTCTCGGACATGGGCCCAGCGCCTTACCGTCCAGGCTATCCCAACCGTAATTTTTTTTAAAAATATTTTTTGGAATAGAAATAATTTTAATACAGATTTCGTCTGGTTAGAGGTTCTAATATTTTCAAGAATAGAACTTAGCAAATTGAATTTTGTACGAATTTTCGGTACTTCTATAGGGGTAAAATCTTTCAACCTTCCTGATATACCAACAGCAACATTACATAATAATTTCTTTTTAATTAATTCTAGTGCTAAATAAATTATTTTCAATTCTCAAAATTATTTCGAGTTTGGAAACAACCACCAAGGGTTCGTAAAGTACCATAAGAAACTAGTATCAATGTTGAATACAGTTGATTTACTTGATTTGATAAGATTTTATTTTGAAATCAATTATTAAAGACGCGAGATATTGTAACAAGATACTGTTAATTGGAGTTATGAAAATATTTTATTCGAAGTTTTTTTCACCGTTATAGGAGGTATCGGATTTCCGGCTATCAAATCCTCAAAACCATAGCTTTGTAATTTTGAACCTAATCTAGCAGACAAGGAAACTCATGGAAAAAGCATTGTGGAGAATTCAACGAGAACTTCATCAGTGGAAAAAATCCGCATTTACGTTACTAAGGGAGTAGAACCGCTAAAACCTCCCACGGTTAGTCTAACGGTAATCAATGATCCGTTCACCAATGGATGTATTTTATATCAAAATGGTAGCCAGTGCGAACTTTGATCAGAAGATGAATCGACCCGATATCACTGGAATCGAATCTAAATCGGCTTTGGGGAAGGGGCAAGTGCTATATTCTCAAAGCCCTCTTGGTTTCGTTAAAATATTTTATAACCGTCGTCAGCCGACCCAATTTTGAGTTTGCGACCGCCAATGTTCATCTCCGTAGTCTTCTGATGTTGAACCCATTCCAGAAGACAAGGAAACTCCTGGATCAAGTTTTGGGAGGACTTTTTGATGGAACTAACCGGCATTGGTATTACATGGAAAGTAAAACAATGAAAACCTCCTACGGTTAGCCTGACGGCAAGTCGACGCCAACCCGTAATCCGTCTACCACTGAGGATATTTTACGTCAGCACTGAGGCCGGGTGCAAGCCGGATAGTCGTATTGATCAGTCATCGGAATTCTATTAATCATTGCCGGGATTCGAATCCAGACCCAAATGGGAGGCTAGCGCTCTACCTCCTGAGCCACCACGGCTCAATATTGATATACAATATTGCGAGAGTATCTTATTTTTTGTAGTGCTAATAATAATTAGGAACAAAACAAAATACATTTTATCATCCTAATGGTAACGAAAATTGCTTTTTTTTTATAATTTTTTTTTGTGCAATACAAAAGAAGGAAAAAGCTTTAATTTTTAGACATTCGTTTATCTACTCATTGACACTAAACGTAAATAAACTGTTTTGCAATGATCAGAATGGAACGCCAACTTAAAACAATGACTGCCTTCTTCTCAAAATGAGAGGCGCAGGAAGGAAAAAGAAGTCACGGACAAATTGAATATCAGAGAGGGGAGGGGGGAAGAAAACTCGAGAGTCTAAAACTAGTAGAAGAGAAACTGATGTATCTCATCGGATTCCATTACAGAAACAAGGATCGTGATACACGCATTTTTATCTACTTTGCAAATAGATAGCAGCTCACTGGGATGACAGAACATTTCGTATAAGAGAAATCTGACACGAATCAATAGCTGAATGCACAAATAAATGTTTGTTCGTATTCCGCATAGCTGTATACAAATCTTTCATTATAAACTTTCAGAGATTTTTTTCTGAACTTTCACTTGGTAATGGAGAGTGGGGCTAGGTGGGATTGTTTTAAAATTTCATATATTTAAAGTTCCTACATCAAAAATGATCATTACTTGTTTAACCTTTTCACACTACAAACCAATGATGATAATAAATTGATCATAATCACGAATTTGTAATTAAAAGAAAAAAATAAAAGGTAGGTAGGTACTTTAATTTACGATTGGCGACGGTTTGGGAAACATCCATGAGGATTATCCGAAGACTTCCTTTCACAATTTTGATGTTCTGTAGATGGGATCTCAATCGTGAAGCTACTTCCACAATTTAGACAATGATATGAAGGGGAAGGAAATTTTCTTAAGATCCTTGTACGCATGATACTGCTCAGCGACCACCGGGGTGGTTTCGATTCCAGATTGTACGAGCTAAGTCGTCCAGACCTTAGCTAAGTCGAGGATCGGAGTCAGATTTTCAAACCACAGGGCTACTACGGCCCAGAAAAAATAAAAACCCTGCTTCTTTTGGTCCCGCAGTGGACTGATCGTTAAGACACGGTTCCCAGCAGATCACCGAAGTCAAGTATCACTGGCTACGGTCAGTGTGCAGGTGGGTGACCACTTGGATCAGTCTGCGTAGGGACCGAGGGTGCGCGGTATTGGTCCTCGATAAACTGTTCTACCGTAAAGTGCTCGACTTCGAGTGCAGGTCGACGGGCTACCGAAGCGGGGGTGCCACCCCCTCTGCAGAGAATCAAAATTGTGATGGCATGTCTTCGGATCATCCTCAGGGGTGTTTCCTACACCGTCGCCAGTAGCCCATTGTACAGCTCTAGTGCGATGTAAATTAACTACAACAACTGCTCCTCTTGCAACTCTAATGTGACACTTGATCAATTTTACCGTGGTTTTGACCTAATACAAACGTGATTTCTATAATAACAATCGAAAATAAGGTACTTATGTTTTTATTAGATCTTCGAAATATTTATCGGATTATCTCTAAACATCGCGAGAACAACATTTCGATAGCGATGCAAAATAGTGTCAACTGTTTCAAAAACTATTTCTATTTATTGGTGGGTGTGTTTAAAGACTAGTGAATGTAAATCGCAATATAAGTTAATGAAACCTTTATAATATTGTTGTGCTCAAATACTGCTTTTATTCAAGGTTTTTATGACGTGTCTTAAGTGAAGAATTACTCCTGTTTTTTCAGACTTTTTGAAGTCTGAAAGAACAGCAGAACTAAAAGATAAAGATTAAAAAATACTGTAATCTTATCTCCTCGCTTTTATTAAACATTTTAAAATCGTTATCTTTTTTTTTTTTCGAAGAAAAATGATCGTTTCAGGTGGTTGGAAGTCTCAATAAAAAGAATTTTTTTTTCATCGCTAGGGAAACACAGTGACTAGAAAGGGACCTTGGGCTACACCCATTAAGTCCATGCCGCTTTGGATGAATAAACAATTAAATTTTTTTTAAAGTATAATTTGATTCTCCGAAACTTTCCTAACTTATGTTTTCTATTTTGAATAGAGTGGCATTTTTGAGTCACTGGCGTTTAAAAGTAAGCGTAAGCGTTTTAATCGGAAGAAGAAAAAGGTACTTATTTTTTGACAAAAATTAAGAAAACGGAACTTTACTTTTTTTTTTTAATTATTCAAGTGTAAGAAACAGCTACTTAAATAATACTGGGGGTAGAAGTATGAGTTGCATGATTATCATAGACACAAAAGGTAGAAATAAACTTATTCGCTTATAACAAATTAATTTCTCTATTTTTCTTAACCTTTGATCACATTCAAAGCGCTAACACCAATTAATTTATAGAATCACCACATCAAGTATCAATTAATCATGTTAATTATACACACCCCTTGTTGTTGAAGTATTTGTGTAGAACAGTTCATGATTTAAAACATTGAAATTCTACTCTTGTACCACCTCAGATTTCCTTTGTAAAACGTGGAGAACCAAATTTGCGTTACATGGCGAGGGATACCACGAAAAATCTTCCATCAGACTAAAAAGTGGGAGGTTTTCCTCTCCATGTAACGCAAAACATGCCGTCAGGCTAACTGTGCGAGGGTCTCGTGGTCTTCCTCTTGATGCAACACAAATGCGGGTTAGCTCCATCAAAAAGTGCTCCACGAAGGCAAATTTCTCCCAATACTCGATCCAGGAGTTTCCTTGTCTTCTGAACTGGCTTCAAAATTACAAGGCTACGGAGTTGAACATTAGTAGTTGTAAACCCATAGAATTGGGTCGACTGTTCAACGACGGTTATATATACATATATATAAATAAATAAAATACTTCACCCAGGAGTTCACTTGTCTTCTGGTTTAGGCTCCAAATTACAAGACTATGGAGTTGAACAATGATAGTCATAAATTCAGATTTGTGTCTACTGTAAGCCGGTTGTAAATAAAGTAAAAAGTCAAATAATGTAGCATTTTGATTCGATAAATAAATTATAAGGAAAACAACGTTTCAACTATTTTCTTTTCTTTTTTTTTGTTGCTTGTATCTATGAATAAAACTGAACAAAATTTAAAAAATTAAGTGCCCTCTGATAGCGACATTTCATGCTTTATAACTTTTATATTTTTTGTTTGTAAAGACATTTTTGGGTATCAGGCAAAACGAGCGTTACGCCTTTTCCAAGCAAAAGTGGAAAAGTTTGCTCATATTTTGAATACAGATTCTGAGCCAACAGTTAGCTCGAATTTTATGCTTAAGGATACTAATCGATGTAAAAATCAATGTTCTTTAATTACGTCCAATGCAAAATTTTGTATGTGATACATCATTAAATTATTATCAAAATAAAAACTGAAACGAAAAAAAAATTGGTTAAAATTTTGTAGTTTATATATAGCTTAATGTACCTAAAAACACAGAATACAAGTGCCAGTCAGGATGGGATAAAATTTTATAAAAAAAGCTGTTCCTACTTAGCAATTTTATGAGGGGAATTATAAAATTTCAGTCGCTTACTAAAAACAAATAAATTAAAAAAAAAAAAATTGTGTTTTAAGCTCAAAATATTTTATAAAATATCAGGAAAAAAAATGGATACATTTTTAGGACTAATCACAGAATTATTTAACTTTAATGTAACAAATAAAAAATGATTTTCAAAATGTTTTTTTCCCCTTTAAAAATAAACAAAATTACAAACAGTAGAAATTGATAAACACTTTCAAGATACTGATAAATATTTTATTTAAATTTTAACATTTGAAAATGCAATGGTTAATTGATGTTTAACTTAAAATAATTTTCAGTCAGCCATTAAAATTTTGTTTCATTACAGAATTTTACACTCAATAACAATTAGTATTTGGACACCCCTGTATTATGCAGGTGATCTAGAACGAATTTTCATGGTACGAACCAGGTCTCTTGATTCGAATTTAAGGTGAACATAACATAGGCACACAACTACTGTGCTGTTTTGGAAGACATTATGCTTTCTACATTGCGGCAATTTTAAAAGTTAAGGACATGTAACTTTTAAGATGACAACGCCATCTAGAACACAGAGGGTACACCATGTGCACTGTTAGGTGCAAGAGGATGTCCAGATTACTTGAAATAATTACTTTTCAATGAAGGAATCTTAATAGTCTTTCCTGCATATAATTGGTGTTATTTTGAAGCACCCAGTGGTTCAACCCCCTGTAGTTAAGGAGAAGTGAGTTGAAAGTTTACTATGTGCTTATCTGTACGTAACAAATGGAAAAGTCCCGACGTTGCGCACCGCTGATGCCAATATAGCACATTACAGGCTCAACCAACAATTGAATCTGGATAACTTTTTTTAATATCAAAGGTGTCCAAATACATATAGGAAGATATTATGTTTAATAATTCCTCGTGTGTTTCATAATATTTAATACTGTTACTTATTAATTCGATGCCATTTAAAACAAGCTCAGAATACATAGAAGAAACTGAAGAATATAGTGAGGTAAATGCAAAAAGTATAAAAAGGACCAATGTTTGCATTAATGGACTAGAATTAAAATGGTTTTATAATTAAAACCATACATAAATAAACTTGAAAGGGATTTCTTAACGTCCCAGTTGCACAAAATCCATTGCCTTGATAAAGAAATAAAATGATACCTGCTCACCAGTTTCAATAAATAGACACGACAAATAATAAAAATAACAACAAAATAAACTAGATCTAATCCCCATGTAAATCAATAAGTACAAGGAACGTCTTGAGTTAATATAATTCAAATATCTAACACATAATAGTCACAAAAAAGTAATATATAAATATTTGCAATACTTTTAGAAAACTGATTTTTAAAATGTCTATATTTTTAAATTTCAAAGCTGTTTTTAATGAAACTTAAAAATAATTTTAATAATTCAATAAAGGAGTCTTAAAAGTATTATCAGAAATTCTGATCGAAACTGATGATATTTCACATAATTTTCCTTATGTACATTTTTCACGCAGTTAATGCTTTATATATATACTAACAAGAATTTTATATAAATTTGGCGGAATTTCAGAGCACTGGGTTTTAAATTTAAGAGATTCTACTGCAATTATTATTATCATATACCCAAGATACTATATAATAACTATTATAATATATAAAAATTATTCTAAAAACAGTATTGATGTAATATTATAAGTTATTTTGTATTACAATAATTGCAGCAAGAAAAATATAACAGATTAACAAATAAATATGTTAAAACAAAAAAATAACACTAACAATAAATAAATCACATGTATATATTTCAGAAAGAAAAAAAAATTAGTGTGCTGTTCTTTTGTATCAAGGAATTAACTCTTGATCTGAATGTCATTATTAAAAAAAAAAATGTATCAGGGTTTTTACTCTTTATTTAAAACAAAATTCAAAATCTTTAAAACTTTTAAAGAAAAAATTAGCAATTTCAACAACCTTTTAAATTGAAGAAAAGAAGAAAAAAATTCTTTTCAAAATTGAAGAAATATTTAAAGAAGACGAAAACAATTAAAGAACATAAAAAACACAAAAAATATTTAAATAAATAAAAGTCTTTCTTTTTTTCACATTTTGCAGACCCTATTAGAAACCACTTGAAGATAATTTGAGTAAATCTAAAGTCACAAGCTAAGCATCATGTCTAAAAATTTTAAAGATATTTTATAAACAAAAAGATTCAACTCAGTTTTTTTTTAAGGTATATATTTTCGTTTTCAGTTCTATTTTCCTCATATTTCATCAATGAAAAAATTACAGTTGTTAGATACTTTAGGAATTGCCAAATAATGATAAGCACATTTATGCTATATCAGTAACAAGTGTAAAGTTAACATTTGATGTCAGAACTGAAAGCAGTGAATACATGAATTGTGGATAATTTAAAAAATTTATGAACATAGAATTTTTGTTTTGGTGTCAAATATGTTCCTTTTTCAAGGACTAAAAATTATTTAGAAAAAAATTTAGGAGCCCTTGAAAATTTGAATAAAACTTAAGCACTTTTTTAAGGCCTTGTAAACCTTGTTTGAAATTAATGCTTCGTGAGATTAAATTATGTTTGAAATTAATGCTTCATGCTGATTATAATTGTAATTAGCTACTTGATACAAATAAACTTAAGAAGCAAAAATAATGACTACATACCTCATATCACAATTAAAAAATACTCCTTAATGATGAACTGTTTCAATCAGTGCTGTTTGTGCTTTCATGATAAACTAAGAATAATACTATTGTATCTCCTTAACATTGTTTCTACAACCTTCATATACAAGCAAATAATGATATTATTAAAATTTCTATTATCATGCTTTCAAAGAAAATTTAATTTTTCGTTTGAATACAACAGATTTATATTACATAAAATATAAAAGTCATACATACTAAAATAACACTTTACTAAAAAAAAAAAAACCCATTAACAGTAAGCAAACTTTGTGACATATTTCAAATTTAAAAAGTTGAAATATTTAAACATGTAATTTAGTAATAAATACTATACTTAGAAAATTACTAGAGTAAGTAATTGTGATAGCATTAAATTTCATTATAAACAACATTCAAAATTTCAAATGGTAATTTTTTCATTAACTTATTGGTGTCACAATGGCACATTTTCATCAGTAGGATAAAAGGCAGGGATGATCAAACCGAAATGATTTAATTTAACATAAGTTGGTCATACTAGAGATAAATATCCTGCTAAAACCTTTAACAGTTCATTTATCTCTGTAGTCTGACATAACCACTGTCACATTTAAACTGCCGTACTTTTTATTCTACTGATTAAGGTGTAGCATAGTTACACTGAAAAAAGAATAGGATTTAATAAAATATTTGCCATTTGTAATTTCAAATGTTGTTTTTAATGATATTTAAGTACTCTAATTATTGTCACTAATACTTTAATTATTTCATGGCACACCAACAACAAACACAAAGCTAGTTAAAAAAAAATTGTCTGAAATTCTAGCCTTATCCTCCTGAATAAGACATATGGTCCATGTTAGTAAAATCACCCTATATAAACAATTGTGCATTTACAACAATAACAAAGTTCACTTCTTTTTATGTCATGCAACATTCCCTAATTCTAAATACATTTTTTTGTTTGGATACATGGCAAAAAGACTTAATTGAGCTAAAGCCAGCACTGCACCAAGAAAATTTGGAACCTGAAAAAAAATTATGCTTTCAATAAAAATGAATGTGAATTATACACTATGCAGGGTGTCTTGAATTAGACTCAAAGCTTTCCAAAATTTATAACAAGAAAGCAGTTAGGATTAAAAAAAATTCTCAATTCCTCCACATTCTAACAAATTTTAAATTTCATTTCTTTACAAGAATGATGAAAATTAATTATTCACTAAAGTGAAGAAGAACATTATTTGACATCTCTGAATAAACGTTTCTTAGAAAATAAATATAAAACAATGGGCTTTACTCTCCCTCAACTCAGAGACTCTACCTCACTTACAGTGAATTTCAATATTAATTAAATAGTTTTGATTTCGGAATTCAGCGATCATAAGTCTGATAACTGATGAGATTTTAACTTTATTATACATAATGATTTTGTAATTGGACATTTTATCACAATAAATGGCTGATTACATTAACCAATGATACAAACTGGTAAGTGCTGTAGTAATATATTTGGATTATACACATAATTTACGTAAATAAATTTTAGTATTTATAATAGGACTGGGTGATGTTAAGATTTTGGCATCGCCTCTCTAACACTGTGATTTTTCAATACATCACGATGGTTCATTACATTACTGTTTAACATTTAGTATTGCATAATTTTTAATTCTTGCACTTCTTGACTGATTGATTAAGAGAATTATATTCTTCCTGTATAACTCAATCTTCAGTTTAGTTACCTTACTAAAAATGCAATAAATTTGTAGAGTTATCAACAATAAATTGCATTTCTTTAAGGAAAAAATCAATAGCCCACATCAGCGACCTAACACATAGAAAAAGAAGGGGAAAAAAGAAAACAGAACAACTTGTGTACGAGGAAAGGAGGGGCATGCAGCAAAAAATAACATGTAGTAGCCTACATCATTAAATTAGTAATTACAAATATAAAGTCAAAATTAAAACACACAGCATTCATAAAAATCTTCATTAAAAAAATTGCTGTTAGATTGAGACAGAATGAAAACTTAGGAACAGATGATGATAATGCATAACTTTCGAGTCAATAACAACTTAATTTTAGTTCATTACTATCAATATTTATTGAAAAAAGAGGAATGAGTTAAAAAGTAAAATGAATCCTTGAATGAAACTAAAATATTAAAAACTGACATTTTTTAATTAATAAAGATTGTATTATTTTCTAATATTTCTGAATAACTAAAGAGGTGATCTCAATATTAATTAATAATTCAATAATAAAAAAACATGTTTCCATAACTAAGATATTTAACAACACTTCGATTCTCATCAAGATTAATCAAGCCAGCAAAATGATGTGTCACAACGGAAGAAGCACACGAAAAGATAACGACCATTGCTGACTTACGATGGGAGGAAAATACTCTTCACGTGAGCATGTGAACATTGATGTCAGATCGGGAGAAGTGTTCTATGAATGCACTTGTAAACATCAATGTATTATCAGGAACAATGCTCATCATTGCACATGTAGACATCAATGTTAACAATGCATCAAAAAACACTGTACACATCTCGGTCAATCACAATTCACAACGCTTCGAAAAATTGACATTCCAAACATCGGATTGGCGATGATTGCATAACATTGATATTTTGAAATGTGTCACTCAGTCCTATTTAGTAATATTTTAGGTAAAGGTATGTATGGTTTCTAAAATATTTTTAAATGCTCCTCAAATCAATTAATTGAATTCAGAATAATATGAATGATAATAAACTAAATTCAACTTTTTTACGAGCAAAAAGACTCTTGTTTGATTACATAAAACACCAATTATAAAAACTAGTATTTTATATAATTCTTTTTTCTAGCCATTAAAAATAAAACACCAAAAGCAAAAATTATATAATTACATGTTACTAAGATAAATTTTATAGTAAAAGTAAATTCTTGATAACATATTATTTTATTTAAGTCATTTACAAGCATCTAGTTTCTTTTGCTAACATGTAAATCATCTCCATCTTTAATTTTTTTTGATGAAATTCATTGTATAAGTGTCACTTGAACAACATAGTATTAAAAAATGAATTGAATAATATTTTTTAACGTTAAATTATAGCACTTATTATCAAGATAAAGATCAATCTCAATAGTCTACACATAAAAATTGATTATAGAAGTAAAACTAAATATTAATCATTTCAAATAATAAGAAATAAGAAAATATAAAAGCAAAGAACAAGGATAAAAAAATCAAAGACACAACAATAAAAGATTTTTTCCCTATTTAAACTTATGATTACAATTAATAATAGTTTAAGCAATTTAAATTAAAAATTTGTTTAATTAGGCATTTGTTTACTGAACAATAGCAGAACTGTTAAATACCTGTACAAATTTATCTTCAACTAGAACTCCATACAAAAACCACAATGTAGCCATAATAAATGTACACATTATCATCATGAAGGGTAGAGTATCAACATTCTTAGTCCTTAAAACATGAGCCTAAATAATTTAGTCAAATTTTAGCTTAGACATGAAAAACATTTATCTTATTATAGGTAAAGTAGAGGTAAAAATAATAATATATAAAAATATAGGTATAGGTTTGGTAGCAGAATTTATTGAATGAATGAGCAGCACTATCTTGCTAAATCCAAATTGTCTCCAACTTCAACACAGTCAGACAAAAAGTTTGTAAAAAATTTAGCTTAATCTAACAAAATTCGCAAACATAAGGTCCTTAAAAATTATACTTAAAAACTATATGTTAATCAAATTTAAGTTGAATTTTATTCAATGGTAATGAAAAAACAAAATAAGTGAAACCTGTAATCAAACAGAAAAAAGAAATTCTTTACTTTTTACTCTTTGCTGGGTTTTCTCTATTCTGCTTTTTAATTTTTATTAGAAAGAAGCTAAGAGATGTTTTAAACATTGACCTCAGCAATTTTTATACAATTTCTTCGTTTAAAAAAAAATTCAAATAAAAAATAATTTGCAGATGTTGTAATAATCGGCAGGACTCACTGCCATGCTGGAAGATTTCTGCTACCAAGGGTATAGGTAAAAAATATATGTTCTCTTATTATAGGTAAAAGTAAAAAAAATAAAATACCACAGCTGCTAATGGGGAGGCCATAAAAACCACTCCAGCACCACATGCAGCTATTCCAGCAAAATATTCCGCTTCTTCAGGAGAGGCAAAATAAGTAGTATAGGAATATAGAATTCCTATGACAAATAAGGTTGCAAGCAATTGTTTTGTAAACCTGGCCTGAAAGAAAACATTTATTTGCTTTATGTTTCAATAAAATAAAAAGGGAAAGAAACTTAATCCAAGAATATAATACAGAGGAATGAAACAATTCGGTTTATTTCTAAGTAAAAGCTTGTATTTTGCTGTCATTTTCCAAAATAATCATTATTTTTAATTACAATGGCCACAACTAATAAAATCATTGGATTTAAAATTAAATCTGCAGGAACGGAATTATTACAATATCAAAACATACTGAAACCATCCTTCAATAAAATCACTATCACAGTAAATTAAAATTTTTGTTGGGCATAAATTTAAAAACAAAATTAAGCGCTCTATGTTTTCTAGTCTAAATATTTAGAACTTTCTATTTTATCAAAGTTTAAAAGCATATCAATAAAAAGAATTTAATAAAATTTTGCCCCCTTACTAATAAATGGAAAAAAGTCATGGGTGTGAATTACACTTTTTGGAGAAATTGAAGGGTGAGTTCCATTATGAATTTTTATAATTGTGGGAAATTTTTTTTAAAATTTGCTTAAAATGCTCTTGAGATGCAGTGAACTCCATAAAAATTAACATTAAAGGGTCCGAACTTGGGACTGGCTTTAATAAATTATTGTGTCCATATTTTTCAGATTGTGTCTCCCCTTCCAAGTTTGGATGATAAGGAATTCAAATTTGACAAAAAAAAAGAAGGTATGTTTATTTATAAAGTACATTTTTGAGTCTGATTTTGTAACTGAAAATATTATTTTCACTTCTTAATTAGCATATTTGAGATCACCCCTTTAAGCCATTAAGATTTAGACCAAGTGATGAATGATCACTCCATCAAAAGTCATACAGGGTGTTCTGCTTTTTCTTTTCATTGCACACTATTCATAAGTACATTACAAAACACTTTTACATGTTACTAAAGTTGATAATTAAACTCTATTTTTCTCTGCTAACTATAACATGAATAAACTCAACATAGAATGAGATAGGAATCAGGTAGTCAGTGATTTCCCCTGATTATATTGGCTAAAATTCCATGACCTTGCCCAGATTTTTCCTGATGAATAAATTTTCATGTTTTGTAACCACCCTGTATATTATTTGTAAATGACTAGAAAAATTTTGCTTGAAAATACCTTGTGCATAGGCGTACCAAAGTGGACAAGCCACCCCCTCTTCATAGTATCAAAATTGTGACAAAATGTCTTCAGATCATCTGAAGAGATATTTTCCAGACCATCCCCAATAGCCATTGTACAATTTAGAGTGATGAAACTGAAGTACTACTATTATCATACTTAAGTATTGAAAATACCTCTGTATAATGTATTTTTAAAGAATAAAAATAATTGCAATTAGTTTATTAAAAAAAAAGAGAAAGCAAAAAAACTTACTTTACTAAGAGTGAATTTGGCATACCACACAATGTATAAAATTTGCAGGCAGCCTCCAACAAAATTTACAAGTATGAGAGCAGAGTCTCCTCGTAAGAGTCCATACCTCAACCAAAACGAACAGCTAGAAAAATGTAAGTCAGGGTTTAAATTTGGAAACAATGTAAATTTTATAAACTTCTTACTTAATTTTATAAGTATAAAATTTATTTTATTTTATATAAAGTACTTAAACTTTATAAATTTCAATATTTAAGTTTCATATGAAGCATTAAAATTTATGTGCATATTTTATGAACTTTATTTTCTAAATTTTCTCCTAAAAAAAGGAGCCATAATTTTTTAATGCAGATTATATCAGTAAATTAGTCCACTGACTTGTAGCTGCAAATTTAAAAAAAAAAAAAGTTCATTTGAAAATGAAGATTGAACACAGGTAATTAAACTCATTTTTATCAACAAATTTTATATATATTTATTAAATTTTAATGCTATACTTATTTACTTTGTACTTAATAAAAAGATGCTATACTTATTTACTTTGAGCCTCATGGCTACTTATCATTAATATGAACTTTTAAATTATTTACCAGGTTAGCTAAAAAACGCACTATTTGAGGACATTTTTTTTTTAATTTACTAAAATTAAATTCTCTAGTATTTTTTTTCTTTTCTTTTTGACCTTGTGAGGATTTTTTTAAATGTTATATATTTAGATCAATACAAAAGTCTACAAAATAAAATTATAAAATAAAAAAATTATTATCATTAATGCAATTTCATGTTTCTAAAAAAACATCCTTTTTTTTTTTTTGGATATTGTAAATTACCTAGGAGTCTACAAAAGTTACGCATTTCCAGAAGCCAGCACTTTATAAAATTAAAAAGTTATTTACGGCTATTATTATTAACAGCTTTTTGCATTTATGAAATTACATAAAAACAAGTATTATTTTGAATTCAACAAATATCGAAAAAGAAATATAATGATCATATGCAAGGTTTTAAGCTTTTTTCTAAGATCAGAGGCTGATAAATTAAAATCATTTTATTGAAAGATGGAACTTAGAGCAAGCAATTAAGACATTTGAATTGATAGAACCTGCAAATTTGTGCAATGGTAACTGGAATTTGTAGATCTCTTCCAAAGTTTCAATAATACATATTCATTTAATTCTATCAACGTAAAATATTTAAATTATAATTTCACAAAAGAGCAAAAAAATTTTTTTTTTCCCCATCCCAATTTTGAGAAAGTATACTCATAAATTTAATATGACATTTTGAATAAAGTATGATAAATTTAATATGCATAAATTTAATATGACAATAGAAATAGTAAAAAAACAATTTTTTTTACCTCACTAAACCACAAAGAAAAGGCAAAGCCGATATATCATTTGTTGACTTCTTTAACCATATTTTACGGCAAATTTCACTGCAAAAATATAGAAATTTTATGTTACACATGCTAGTAAAGAAAAAAAAAATGGTTTAATCATAAAATGAAACCAGAAGCATAATTTAGAATGAATAACAGCAACAGTTAAAAACTAAAATTGAAGTGAGATATAAGGCTAAAACTTACTAATTTTAAAAAGTTAAGTAGGGTGACCCGGGGTAATTCACGATCACTCTGTTTCTGGGGTAAATAATGATCACCTAAGTTTTATTTTAAAAAAAATTTCTTTCTTGAAATTTGAGACATGGACAAGAATGCTTGTACACTTTACTAAAGTATAACTACATTTACTTAATAATATTTTTTTGTTTAATGTAACAAAATGAGTATCTTTTAAACTGCTCTCTGTATTTTGCATTTCAAAGATGGGTTTCAAAATGTGCACATTTCTGCAAAGATCCCCCTCCTTCTCTAATTAATAAATATTTTGAGTTACTTTCTTTTTCTTTGATATGAAAATAGTGTAAGCTTTTGTTTAATTGCTTCACATCTATTGTAAACATTATAATTGATTACAGGAAACTATATCAAATGTTGCCCCCTACAGATGGGGTAATTATTGATCACTGGGGTAATTCCTGATCATTGTCATTTCTTTTTATAAATAGTATTAAAATAGCTAATTGTCTTTTCTTAAATGACAGTTCAAATTTATTAAGTGGAACAACTATAAAATATATTTTAGCTGCAATCGCAAAATTTGTTTTCAACTGTAAGCAAGACAAATGTGTTCTGATTTGCACCATTTCTGGTTTGTCTTACCTTTCTTCCATCTTAATTTTATGTGTGTACATTGTTAGAATAATTTTTATGTTTATAAATTAGCCTAATATAAGTATGGTGAGAAATTATGAATCTGAAAATGATACTAAGCTTATAGAAAGCAAAATTAGTGAATTTCTTTTAATGATTGAAAATGAAAATTTCAGTGTGAGGGCTGATGACATACCTTACTAAACTACACTCTCATTTAATGGAGATAAAAATTCCAGCAAAAGAAACCCATGTGGAAACTCTTTCTTATATTCCAGCAGAACATGAGCATGAGTTGACTGCTTGCCTAAAATGTATGGCACGTTGCAAAGATTTTTGGAAAATTTAAAGCGTTAATCTTTATTCTTGCTCTTAAATAAATCGTTTTATTGGCTGCTTAAACATATCTTTTTGGTTTATTTGTTTGATCTTGATGTCTTATTTATTAATTACCATTGTTTAATTATTTTTAAACGGTCCCTTTACTATAAAAATTGGTGATCTGTAATTGCCCCAGAAGTGATCAGGAATTACCCCAGAAATGATCAAGAGAAGGGGTAATTCCTGATCACTAAAGATTTAAAATCTTTTAAATTGTAATTAGATTTTCAAACAAAAGAAGGTAGCATAGGACTCATCTCATATAGCCTCAAACTACCAGTAAATATTAAAATTCTATCGTGAATAGTTTTTTCACAAAATAGATGTTTGCATTTTTTGATCAAGAATTACCCCAGGTCACCCTACAGTGAGTAAGTATATCAAAATTTAAAAATTTTACTTATTAAAAATTCAATTTCTCAAGAACTATTCAACCAATTTTGCTTGAATTTTGTTTTTTACCATGTAAAATTATGTTTTTTAAAATGATGTAAATGACAATAAAATTTTTTTTTTACTATTATTAAATAAAATAATAAAAAATATTAATATACAATAAAAGTTATTTTTGGAGGGAATCATTTTTAAATTAATGGATTTTATAATTCTGGGCAAAAAATTTTCAGTTTACTTAAAAACTTCTCAAGATAAGGTGAAATACGAAAAAAATAAAATTAACATTGAGAAGAGTAAACTTTGGTCCGCTCTCCCGATCAAACTGTTGTGACCCCATTTCCCAGATTCTGTCTCCCCCCTGAATTTTTAAGGGTCAGAAATTCGAATCTGTCGAAAAAAAGGTATGTTCATTAAGAGAAAATACAATTTTGTGTTTGATTTCATAATTTGAAATATTGTCTGCATTAATTATTTAGCATATTTGAGGTCATTTCCTTAAACCATTAAAAATTAAGATTGAGTCCTAGAACATGAAGATCCACTCATTAGATCAAAAGTTATTTAGGGTAGTCCCTTTTTTGCGCACTGTACAATATTGAGATTATAACTACTATAATGCTCTAACTAATGAGTTCTCTCTCTCTTTGCGTTTCATTGACCAACAAAAATGATGAAAAAGCTACTTAATACTTGAGCAATGATCTTTTTTTAAGTTTTCTAATGTTTGACGAAAGATTACTAAAACATATCTTATAAAGTCATTTTTATAATAGTAATACAGCGTTAAAATTGAATCTAGTCTGATTTAAAATACATTATATCATGGTCATAGTCTAATAATGAATTAAATTTAATAAATTATTCTTTAAATTTATTAAAAGTAAAAAATACATATTAAGGTGAATGTAGACCTCTAACTGAAAAAGACTTAATGACTTTCTCACTAAATTTTTCCTCTTTGTTTGCCTCACATCCTTTTTTTATGCTGATATTTTTAAAAAGAGGGGAAAAAAAAGATCATTCTGTTAATATTTTAATCACAACAATTATCTGGATTTGAAAAATAATTGAGAGCACAAGAAAAAAAGAACGTGGGACTCAATAAGAAATGATAAAGTAATTTTACTTGCTAACAATATATAATGATGACCTTAAATCACATAACAGCTCATATCACTTGAGTCTCATATATTTTTTAAAATTTTAAATATGAGTGTTATATTTATTTCTGTGGGAATCTAATCTCTCTCTCTCACTTATTTGTTCAGTTTTGTTTTATTTATTCAATTCTTTATTACTTTTGATATCAAGTCAAGCATAAGCTTATGAAATGAAGATCATGAGAGATAAATAGATTTTTCTACAAAATTGATAAATAATCATTAATTTAAGTAAAAAAAAAATGCAAACAAAGCACTTAATTACTACAACTTAAAACTTACATTAAGTTCATAATTGAAAATGGCTCTTTCAGCACATTAAATTTCAATTCTTTAATGGTTTTTAGTGGGCTGTAGATCAGCCCACAAGCTTTTTTTTTACTCGAAGTTAAATAGGTGTTAATTCTCTAATTAATATTTGATTCATACTTTTTTTATTGTATCATAGTCCTCGTACATTTTACAACACACCTTCGTACTTTTAAGTTCTTATGTCTTATAACAAAATATGATATAATAGTGAGACAATCAACAGAACTAATTTTTTTATAATTTTGTTTTTCAATTACTACATTTTGTTAGTTACAATATTTCACTACCTGAATATTCAACGCGTCTATTTTAAAACTATGAATGGACATAATAAATCATAATTAGAAACAATAATTTGCACAAGAATCGGGAAACAGAGCTTTCCCGTACCTTACTCGCAATTAAGATTATTTAGAGCAAAATTAATTTACATAAAAGGTAAATTTTCAAAATAAATTATAAACAGACCATTGAATTGCAAATTTGGTTGTATTTAAAAAAAGATTTGAAATAAATATTATTAAAAAAGTTTATTGAACAAGTAAATATTTTAATTTGAATAAATCTAAGGAAAGGTAACCATGTTGCGATCAAATTTTCACAAAAAATAAACGGAATATACAATAGACTTATTTAATTACAACTTCACTGGCACACAGTTAACATAAATTACGAAATTGCAATGTTTGCTTACATTTGCTTTTGGCAAAATTCTATAACAATTTTAAGCATTCCTGGCAACATGGGAACTCAGTTATTAATTAAAATAGCATATGTATTAAATGATGTATTTGTAGTGAAAGAGAGGGAAAAAATTATTAGCTTATACTTACATGCCAGCTAGAAAAACACCTATAGTAAAAAACGTAGCTATATTCCCAACAACTATTTTCAAATCCATAATTTTTGAATTGCATGAAAAGTCTTCTCTGAAATCACAGACATACTTTAGTAGGCAATTTTTAGTTTATTTTTATTATGAAATAAATAAAACTTATTGTAGCATTAAGAACCTAGCAATGAATAAAGAAATAAAATAAAAAACAAATGTCAGATTCTGTGATTCAAATTTATTCCCATTAATTAAATCATACATGGGAAATTCTTTGTTATCTAAACTTTTAAATGTTAATAGAACATGTATTCAATTGAAATTCGTAATGCATAACTGTAGCACAAGTTCATCCATTTTATTTATTTATCACTAACATAGTATTTATTTTTTTAATAATTACTTTTTAATAATTTTTTTTTTAATTTTTAAAAATCATTCATAATATTTGATTTTAAAAATGTATTTAAAAAACAATGTAAGATGAAGTTTCTAAAAACTATCAAATAATGTTAGGTTTTTTGTGCTATAAGTACAAAATTACAAGTCAGCGGTTTTGTTGTCAATATTTTCAGCTCAAATACATTACCCGGAAAGAAATAGTTACACTATCTTAGACTTAACAAAAAAAAATTTATAAAATCAAGCATTTGATTAATTAAAATAGCACTCGGTAAAAATATTTATAAAAACTGTTTCTAGCATATTACAAATCAAAAAATTGAATTTTGAAAAACATAAAAGTAATCATACATTGATCCTGACAGCTGACAAAATGCATACACAACACTTGACAGCTGACAAAATGCTGATGCAGCAAAGTGCATGTTAAATTTGTCATGGCTGAAACTTCCTTTAATTAAGATCAAAATTATGTTGCATTACTGTCATAACCATTAAGAGATAAAGTCTTAAAAATAGTGCTTGGTCATGGTTGGATGACGTGTTCAAATGATTCAAGTAGATTAATTTGCAAAAATAAAGTTGGAGAATGCAGAAAAATTACCTAACATTTTTAAAATTATAAACAAACAAGTTTTATTTGAGAGTTCTATTTGGCTTCATATCTATTAGTTTTCTAATTTTATTACTAATAAATATTCTTCATTGTTTATTGAGATTTTTTTTAATTAAAAAATTATCATCCATAAAAAATAAGCACAGAATAAATTAACTCATTTTTAATACCTGTACCATTTTTAATTAGTTAATTAGCTAAGTTATCAATGTTACAAAAATATTAAACAAATTATTAATTATTAGTTTTAAGAAGTTTTATTCAGAATGAAAACTGAAAAATAGACAAATTCGAAAAATATATAAACAGACCTGAATATAATACCAATACCTGATAAACTACTTGAAGTGCAAGTGAAGTACCTCAGTATTAATAATGAATGTCAAGTATTATCTAAAAGAGATAATATTCTTTTTCTTTAAATGATTTATGTAAAGTATTAAAAAGACATACAATTTAGGATGATTAGTACACATATAGAAATAATATGATAGGATTATAACAAGGAATGTAAACAGGGTTATAAAAATTTATTGAGAAAATTTAAAGATTCAGTTACTTATTTATGTGTAATAAAATATTTGCAAGAAATATTGTATAAATTGAGAAGAAGATTTTAACATTAATGCAACTTGATCAAAAAAATTAAAAATTTATAACATATCCATGCTTTAAAATTAATTAAATTGATTATGTGCTATATCGATAAACGATAAAAATATGCAATTAGGAATTTTATGTACAATAAAAGCTAAGTTAAAAATTTACAACAGTGAATACTCTCATAACAAAAAGTTATCCAACAAGTCACATACTCGTGTAACCCAGTCCAGAACTGAATTAAAAAATAGGGCACATCTTGTTCCAGAGGGTTAGTTAAAATTGTTAAAAGCGGAATTATAAATGTTTTTATTAATCTAAAAAATATCAATTGACAAGACTTTGTTATGAAGAGTTTGATAGAGAACGTGGATCTTTTTTTCTCAAACAGTACTTAAAATTTCGTGCAAAGTCAATGAAAAAAAGTGATAATTTTCTTAAATACACATAATTTAGTTTATTTTATTCCATTTATTATGCACATTAATCAGGGTCCACAAGCACTGACAAAAACTTTAGAAAATGGTAGTAAAACTAAGACCAAAAATTGTATTTTTGGTCTTAGTTTTACTGTCAGTAAAATATTCTGCAAGTAACCATCAGAATATTTTACTTACATAAAATAGTGACAGAAAAAAAAAAGCAATTTCCTTAACTTTTTTGTAACAAAAGTGACATAAATTTTTTAAGTTACTGGAAGAGCGAACGAATCTTTTAGTTTAATAAATATAAAATAAACTTATAAGAATAGTGTTTTATTTTGGGTTCAAGTCCAATAGTGAATTATAATTATTAAAAATTGTGGATTATGTCTCTAGATTTTTCAAATATTTTTACAGTTAATTCAAAATGTTTTCAAGGAAGATTTTCTTAAGAAATTTATTTGTTTTCACAACAATTCAAAAAAATTACAGATAAAATACTCGTTTTTAAATTTTCTAACGAATTTAATTTAAAACAAAAATTTATTTTTAAATGATTAGCTACCAAGAATTACAAATTGGATTAAAAGGTAAATAAACTTGATACTTACATATTATATTCTGATTGACAAAGGAACCGGCAATCTTGATATTTCTTCTGCACAAAATCAAATTAAAGAATCATGAGTAAAGAATTTTCCACCGCTACCAAATAATCAGGCATTAGAATCAACTTGAAAACAGGACTTCAAAAGATGTCACGACGACGTTGAACAAAAAAAAGAAAATAAATATTTGGTGTTTTGGAATTTTCGAGGGAATTGATCCTATTGCACTTTTTCGCTTCTTTCAATTCGTTCACTAGGTTGAAGGCGAACATTGTTATTTCATATGCAATTTACAAACGCAAACTGTATATTAATTTTGAACTCAATTTATCTAGTTGTTAATTACGAATTATTTCTAAGAGTAATGCCATTTTGCAATAGGTTTTTGAAAAAATGTTATTATTATTTTAATAAAAAGGTTTTTTGGTCTCAATCAATATTTAGTTATGATTTCCTTTTTTTAAATGCATTATTTTCATTATTTAAATAAATTGAAATCTAAACAAATTTAGAAAATACCTCAAAATAAATAACTGTATTTGTGATTACTCTCATAACATGTGTGTTTTGTTTACTTTCTGGTTGAGTCCTGTGTTCGGATTTCTTCGCTTGTTTTAAGATCAAAAATTTTAATTATAAAATTTTCTATTGCATAGAAATTTGAAACTTTAATTGTAAGTGTTGTTTTCTCTTTACGAAACATTTAACAGCAGTAATTGAAATGTGAAGAAAAATACATTAGATTCAGAAATGTTAAAAAACAATTTCATATCAAGGTTTTATATGCTGAGGAGTTAGATAAAATTTTATGTCCACCACATTTATTTAAGGTTGTTGTTGGAAAGCTATATTATTTTATGTATATACATAAAATTGATGTTATTATGAGAATTATTATTTTGACAGTAAACTTTCCTCTGCACGGCCGTACTCAGTGGCTGTAGGTGATTAGTTACTCAACTTTATAAGTCACAAATTTTTAATCCTTATGTAGATTATCATTTCTATAATTATTTGATATTATTATATTTATTACTTTCTTAGAACTCGTATTATGCCTTTAAGTAAAGTTTTTACAAAAAATGGCTATAATACCAAAATATTAAAGATATGTCCTCTAAGTTTTTAAGTAAACGAATCCGTAAAAAGGTGCCTTACAATTATTAATGTGCCATTAACTTTGGTAATAGGTTCTACTGGTGTTATATTGATAAGTAGACGTGAATATAGCTACTAATTTATTGTAAAAGCATTAAAATGTAATCAATGTTTTTTTTTTCATAGTACATGGGAAGATAATAATCATCAAGTTTGGACAACACCTCGGTGATAATATTTAGCATGAACAGATACTGATACAAAAATTCACCTACTGTTTTCAGAAGTAAGTAAGTTTGAATATTTCTTATTTGCAAATTTAGTTTAGTTAAATGTTTTTTCTTCTTTGTTTATCTATGTGGAGAATAAATATAACTTGTTTTGTGGGCTGGACAAGTTATCCCCTATAAGTTTCAATTAGTAATTTAAATTTTAATACCCATTTGTAGAATTCATGGTATCAAACTGTAGCACTTAAGCTCTGTTGAATACTAATGACGCTAACATCATATCGCTCATTTGGTGAAACAATGACGTAACTGATATATCATAGAAACTATCAGTTACGTCATTGTTTCACCAAATGAGCGATGTGTGCTTTGCTGTAATATGTAATTTTTTTTACATTAAATAAAGTTGTAATAAATAAGTTTATAACAATATGTAAGGGTGTAATAATATAAGTTATAATAAGGAGTATGTTGTTGGTTTCAGAAAATTTTAGTTTTCTCCCTTATTATTAATAAAAGCCATGCTGATGAATCTTATAAGTATTATTTTTTTTGTTAGGTTTAAAGTATTTTTAAATAATTGCTATCTGTGTTAGTTATATTTTCTTTTCTTACATATTTATTTTTAGAGAAATGTAACTTAATTGCTAATATGTTACAATGCATGTAAAAAACTTTTTTTTAAAAACATTAAATGAAATAAACAAAATTCATGATTGTAATTTTTTAAAAGTTTGATTTAAATAAAAAAAAAATTGAATTTTTTTTATTTAGTATATATTTTAATACAGACAAAAACATTAAGTTTTCTAAATTCCTATTCAAATTATTGTTTTTCTTCATCTTTATGTATTGCAAACTTTAAGCAGATTGTGTCAAAATTAATCTCTTAATTGTTTCTTTTTTCAAATGATCAATCTAAAATCAGTTTGTTATTTTGCAAAAAGTCCAAGTTATTCATTTGTAAATGCAAGAAGATACAGTAATATTGTTATTTAGAATAGGGGTGCACAACCTTTTTGAGTGAAGGGCCACTTGCACAGCAGGTTGGCTAACGAAGGGCCGCAGATCTATTTACACATGTTAATGACAAATGTAGTAATGTTTATTTAAACATTAGCGTTCCATTTTTTTTTTATCAATAAACTTAGTAATATCAATAACTTAGTGTTCCATTATTAGAATTCATTCAAAAATAAAAAAAACTTATACTTTTTTTTTACAAAAAAAAAAACTTGCTATTTTTATCATTTGAACAATAGATTTATCAAAATAAATAAATATTGAAGAAAAGAAATGTTTTTTTTAATCATATCACGCAATACGAAAATTCATTTTAGAATTAAATTCTAATAAATAAAAAAAAACTGTAATGCCCACAGAATTAAAGTAGGAAAAAGTTTAGTCATAATTAAGTAATATAAATTCAAATTAAATATTTTAATTGAAGAAAGTTTATGGGTTTTAAACAAAAGTCTAAAATAAAAATAAAACTGTGATAGTTCAAAATAAAATTCAATGCTTATTTTGAAATTTGCTTTATTATTTTATTTTATTAATTATTAGATTTTTTTTATATCGCAAACAGTTTCCTTCTTTTTTATTGAAAAAGATCACTTAAGCAACAAAAATTTAAATCTAAACTACAAACAGTGAGCAGTTTAAAAATTCACGTTTTCCGTCATTTTATGAATTTCTTAAGTTGCAATAACATTACATTTAAATTAGGGAGGGATGTAACGAGTATTTGGTCCTTCTGTGAAAAATTCAGTTGGTTGAATGATCAGTCAAATATTCGGCAGAATATCTTTTAGAAATGTATTTTGCCAAGTTTTTTTTATTTTTGAATTTTTATAGATATTAATTTTTTTTAAAATCATAATCAGACAAGTCAATTTTGTCATTTTTTCGATACTTTGAGAATTGAGTTTATTATCACTCTCTCCCTGTACTGTAATATGAATAACCAGTAACAAAGAAAAGTTTGATTTTCAGTATTAAAGTTTTGTTTCAGGAACTAAGAAAAATGTGCTTTTTCTGTTTTTCCTTTTTAAGGCATTTTTATTATGACTCAGAATTTTTTTTAAAAATAAAGTTACGAATAAAATTTATTTTTTTAATTTTTTTTCTGCTAAAATTATGGCAATGAGAAAAATTTAAATTGAGATTTTCGGCATAAGATTTTCATTTAAAAAATTATAACGCTTTTTTTCTATCTTTTTATTTTCTTTAAATAATAAAAACCTTTTTTTAGACGTTTTCATTATAACGTAGTAATTTTTAATAGCATTTCTGTTGACTTAATTCTTTTTTCTTGGCTTTTTCTGGTAATTGAAAAACTGAGATGTTCAGCTTTAAAATTTTTCTTCAAAAATTAAGATCGATTTTTATGTTCTCTGTTTCGTTTTTCGACATTTTCAAAAACGTTCTTGATTGGCTTTATTTTTTATAGTTAATTTATGAATATGTTTTTCCAGGAAATATTATTCTGAGCATTGAAATTTTAGTTTCAATGTTGCTATGGTGCTAAAAGATTTTACTATTTGGCCAGTCGATTTTTTCTTCTTTTTTTTTTGCCGAATACTTCATTTTTGATCAAATCATAATTCATTACCACATTCGACCAAATCATATTCGTCGCGGAAATAAAAACGCAGGAAAAATAACTAGGATTTAAGATAAAACTGTACCGAAATACCGTATCAAAAAAGGGATTATTTAATTGCGTGATTAACAATCACGTTTCGTAATAACATCATAGTTAAATAACGGGATCGTCAAAATCATGTGAAAAAGTATAGAAATAAAAAATATATTTATGCTGAACTCAGCACGAATAAAGCGTGACAAATGCATGATTTAAAATTTGTATGTCGTAATAGAACAATTGGAATTTTTTATAATACGTGGGAATGCATAGCAATAACTGCCGACAAAAATTGTGGAAAAAAAAGAAAGAATTGCAAAAAAAAAAAAATCACTTAGATTTAAGATGAAATTGTCACAAATAAAGTACACAAAAATTGGTTATTTAAATTTGCGATCTGAAACTCGCGTTCGCGTTGTTATAAAAATTCGGGATTTTCGAAATCACGTAGAAAAGCGGAAGTAACTGTTTAACAAAAATCATTTATATTTACGATAAAATCGGCCTAAAGAAAGTGTGTTAAACGTACATTTACTAAAAAATCTGTTAAAATTGATTGTGTCAAAACGTGATGACTTAAAAGTGCGATTAAAAATTACCATTTTTAAAAAAAAAATTTATTGTGTTTAGAAGCTCTCGCGGGCCGCACTTTAGTAGTCGAAGGGCCGCATTTGGCCCGCGGGCCGCAGGTTGTGCACTCCTAATTTAGAAGAATCAGAGCTCATTCTAGGCAGAAAAAAGGGCATTATTATTCTAAAAAGGCAATAATTTCTTTCTATGGGCTTTGCACGTTCTATTAAATAACATTGTCAATTAGTAAAAGAATTTTTTTTTTACTTTACTAAAAGTAGCAAAGCAATCATATTAATACTAATTTTTATTAATAAATTAACATATATAGAGTTAATGAGCTAATTAGCTTAGTAATTTATTTAGAATGCATGAATAGATTAATAAAATAATAAATGTATGTTTTTGAGTTTCTGTAGTTATGATTTAATAATTAATATGATTAATAATAAGTATGATTTAATGATAGTAGAAGTAACTGCAAACTTTCAAAAATGCTTGTAACAAGGGGGTTTGATGGCTATTTTTCCTTTCCCATATAAATCTGTGTATTGACAGCAATGACAAACTAAATAAAAAGAGTTAAAAATAACAAAAGTTTAAGAAATCCATTGTAGAGTTTGGGGAAAAAATAAATAAAGAAAGGGCAAAAAGGATATGGAGTCTATTACATCAGTGCACTAATTTACTTCAGGGGCAACAGGGTGGATTCTTTTGACTAAAAGGGCAGCAGGGTGCTGCACCCTGTTTACCCTGCCTAAAATGAGCTCTGGAAGAATATAGAATAATTATTAAGAGCCTTGAAGGATATCTTTTATATTCATAATTAGTCACTACACAATACAGATTTTTTCAAAACTTTAAAGCAAAACGAATTATAAATAATAATGGCTTATAATGAATTTTATATTAAAAAAAGGAACTTGATTATTTCAGATTGAAGAATTGATAGAAAATTCTTTATCTACATCTGTATCATAATGGATGAATGTAAGTTTTTTTCCCCTTCACTGTTTATAATTTTACTTGTTGATAGTACTTCTATTTATTACTTTTGATAAAATTTAGTTTCAGGTGTGAATGTGATAAAATTTGCAGAAGCTAGAGCTAGTGAAATCGCTAGTTTGATGAATGATGTCAATCATATAAAAAAGAATGCTACACAAAAGTTACCACCTCATATGCGTAGACGTGCTGCTAGTCATAATCCAAGAAGAGTTCCACGGAAGTTGAGAAAAAATTATTTGGTACATATTTAATATTTGGTCTTATTATTACCATATTATTTTCAGCTTTCTTGTAGGAAAAGATAGTGTTAAAAAGTTATCACCCTTCTGATTGAAAATTCAAATGTAGTAATATCATAAAAAAATACCAAAGCTAAAACAAAACCATGTGGAAATATACTAATAGACTATAAATAACTGTTAAAAAAAATTTGACTAGATATTATTTATTTCGTTAGGAATTGAACTTGTCAGAGAGTGTTCACTGAAATTTATAATTTGCAAGTCGTAATAAAATTGTGTAAAAATATTGAAATTTAAAAAACCTTGTTGATCAATAGGGTAATCATTGTTTATTTTATTCTATAAGCACTTTACACAGACAGCAGAATAGTCATTGTTAAGTTTTCCATTTCAATATGGTTTTATTTAAGATTTTATTTCTTGCTAATAATAATATTTCCTTGCTCATAATATACCTTTAATAAATAATTGCAATATTCAGAATAAATGTTTGGATACTGTTGAGTGGCGTCTAAATTAACTTGTTTAAAAGTTTTTATTTTAGGAGAATACTTATTTTAAAAAATATGTTGTCAGAAAAAAAACTTGCTATACATACTGCTACTTCAATTTTAAAGGTTTTCTCATAACAATGTTATTCTTTCAAATAATGTAGTGTTGGCAGGGTTGGGTTTTTGACGTCAAGTTAAATTTCTTATATATATATTCCTTTCATTTTTAGAATTTAAATATTCCTTATTAAATAACATTGATTAAAAAAAAAAAAAAAAACTGTCACTTAGACTTTTATTTATCATCAAATTTTTGAGAACAGAATGGCATTTTATATTTATCAAGTCCTTAAGTATTAGTTATGTAGTTGTTTGCAAAATAAATGCATTGCTAGGATAATTCTGTGCAATTTTGTCTAGATTTCCAGTGCTTAACTTTAGCCACACATCTGTATTATTAGTTATTAAATATCATTTTATATTAAAGTTGCATAAAATAACGAAACTGTTATTAAAAAGAGTAAAACTCTGAATTTTCAATAACATTGGGGATAAACAAAAAAAATTTAACTCTTCATTTTCAAAATGTGAATCCTGCTGTTTGTTATAGTTATTAATTTTTAAATACAGGAGAACTTTACGATTAGTAATCTTTCCTTATAACAGCTTTGTAGTATGATTTGTAATCTATGTTTTAATCATTCAAAAAATAAAAGAGATTAAATTGTAGAGAATTAAAAAAACAAAACAAAAAAACAATATATTGTGTTAAAGCGAAAAGAAAGGGATTTTAAGATTATGATTGCTTATACATCTGCGCCCGTTTTTCTAGATTTTTCTTCTTGCCAACATCAAGGATAATAACTGTCAATGTTGCGTTTGGATTGCATTTGTTTGCCCAGATAAGTGTCTTGTAATGATTGAGAGAGTGGAAGGAGTAAGGATTTCAGCATAATACCTTTTTTTTTTAAAAAAAAAGAAAAAGGAAAATTTTTTTAAAATGCTATTGCCCCTATAAGTTCCATAAATCACTATACTATTTTTTTAAGGTTTGAAAAATTCCCAGTTTTTTTTATTAGTAGTGGATTCTCACCTTAATGTGGAAGCGGTGTGCATGCATAAAATCATTATCCCTGTTTATTTTAAGTTTGATTGGTGGATATAAATTTGCCTGGTACACTGTTTTTTTTTTTAAGGTTAAAGAATTATATGAGTTTATTAATTTATCTACACTGCCCGGATAAATTAATGTTCAAAAAGTTTTTGAAACTATACACAGAATTAACTCGAAATGATGTGCAGAACCTCGGCTGGGTGTAGGGATGTAAATTTAGTTAGGTGCATTTTGTTTTGAATAGAGCTCAGAAATTCACTACACTAATGTCTTTTTTTTATGGTTAGAGAATTGCCTGTATAAACAGAAGTTTGATTTGCTTTATGTGAACATTGCATCATGTTAATTTAATTTGGAATGAGATTATAATAACAAAAACCTGGTAAAAAAAATTTACTAAAATGTGTTTTATATTACATTATTTTAGTTGCACACAATTTCTTGTTATTCATTATTTGTATATATGTTTCTGATTTATACAAATATATCTGTAATATACAAAAAACGGAATTTCCATATTTTGAAAAAACGTTTTTTTTTTGCCATTGAAAAAAAACCTCATTTCATAATTTAGATTCAGAATCCTAATGCTGTCTCAAAACCAAAAAAAGCTCCAAAGGAGAAGCGTAAGCTACAACAAAAGAAAAAACATGAGAAACAAGCTAAAAATTATCCTGAGGAATATGCCAGTCGGAGTCGTCCAGGTGAATTTTGGCTAGGAACTCATATTTGGCATGCCAAAAGATGTAAAATGGACACTTTGTGGGGATACAAATTACCAATTCACTGCAATGATAAAAAATTAGGAGCTACTCACCAAGCTGCTACAAAACATGCAATGCTTATGGTTAGTACTTTTTGAAATTATTTTACAAAAACAATTTCTATTTTATTAATGTTATCGCATATTGTTTTTTTATTTTTATCAAAAAATTGCAAAGGTTGCAAAAAAATGAAAACAAAAAATTTACGTATAAGCTTCTTCATAGTATTTAAAAATCTTTTCCAATTTAGTAGTCTGTTGAAAATACATTTTATTTATATTCGTTAAATGTTGTTGTATGTAGGGAATTAAAATAGGAAAACAATTTTAATGTCAGACTTCAAAAATGTATCGTGTTAGAACTAAGAATATCAAAAAATTAACTTTTTTAATATTTTTCTACTTATGTGGTACTTGATAGATAGTACTTGATAGTAAAATAGGTAGATTTTCAAGATTGTATATTCAAGATTATATATTCATATATTATCAAAATATTCATATAAATATTCAATAAATAAGCTCAAATCATAGTTTTATATCATTGCCATTTTTTTTAAAAAAAAATTAACAGCATTATAGACATGTTAATATGCATTTCATGTTTTTAAATATAAAAAAAATTATTATAAACTTTTAGGTACAGAGTTTTTAGAATCATAGGTTTGAACACTTTTGGAAAGTTGAATGTGAAAACCCCTGTGTCCAGCTCAAAAAAAAAATTTAGAACATCCGAACATAATTTCTATAATTAATAATTTTATGTCAAAAAAGTGACATCATGTATTCTATTAATGTGTTAGGTTCCATTTTCTAAGTTTTTATTAAGAATTATAATATTTTAAACTTCTCTCAAAGGTAATTTTTTGAAAATGTATTTTACTGAACCTTTACATCAATCTAAACTATTTTTTTTATTTGCTGCTGGATTCTAATCTTATAAGTATGTTTTTGAAATTAAGAAACATCTGCTTTCGTTGAAATTTTTTTTTTATAATTTATACTTGTTCAAAGTAAAATATATTATTCTTATTTTCAAACTAACATCTTTAAACAAACTTTATTTTTACAATTGTAATTTGTATTGATTGTTCTCTATCTTTACATGCAATGATTTTACATTTGCACTAAATTTTAGAATAATTCTGTGCTGTTTTATAACTTTTCAAAATTATATTTAAAGGATTTATCGTATTATTGCTGTATCTCTTTGGAAGGACCTGAAGATAAATTATTAGCAGGCTTAACAACACTTACTGATCCTGATTCAGGTAAAAGAAATAAAAATTAAAAAATAGAAGAAATAAAATTTCAAAATTCAGATAAATAAATAAAAATAAATAAATAAATTTCACCCTTGAAAAAGTGATAATTATTGTTGTGTCACATTTTAAGTTACTTACTAAGTTGAAAACTTAAAATTTTTTGTTTTTTAAGTTCTTGAAATATTGTAAAATTATTCTTAGATTGCATTAACTTTTTGCAACCCACTGGTTTCACATTTAAACCATTATTTTTCGGCAATAATGTAAGCCATTAAAAATGTAGTCGTTTTATCTCTCAACCTGCATTTTTTTTTTTTATCAACTACTTTAAATTTTGAGACTAACGAAATGAAGAGGATCTCATCATTTTGTATTTGTAAATTACGACAACAATTCATTTTGTTAGAAATTTTTCGATCCGTCAAAGGGTTAGTTGTTTTATAGATATGATGATAGCAAATTTTAAATTATTACTAAAATGAATTCTGGTTATTTTGGTAGTTTTAATGACAGTAAAAAAAATTGTCGCATTTCTGTTTCTGAAAACCATATTTAATTTGATTTAACCTTCTGTTAGTCTCACTTTTATATATAATTTTCTTCTGAACTTGCAATGTTCAGAGAGTGCTTCTGACTGGAATGATTTCCTGCTTATAATCCTGCATAATTACCTGTTAGAAAACCATGCTAATTGTCATGCGGATAATCTTCTGAAATTATTTTGCGGGCATTAGACATCACGGATTTCCTATCAACTTTTATTTTTCCACACTATTTTTTTTTTAACAATTTCTAGAAAACGAACTGAAAATTTAAATTATTCATTATTTCAAGCAGAATTTTGAATCCATATTTAACAGTATATGTATATATAAGATATATATGTGAATAGTTATGTGTATGTATACGCATATAAATATATATTATTAATGATGTATGAAGTGCCTATTTTTCTGTTTATTTTTTTAACTTAGCTTAAGGAAAAATTGTTTTATTCTTAGGGAGTAATTTTGGATCAGCTATGTATCGTGATGGAATGAGAGAAGGGCATACTGTTGTGTACCATCCGTTCAAATTTCCCTATGAGGCTATAGGACCAGTAACTTTCATATGGAAGCCTATCACTGATATGTCTTCAGATTCTGAAACTTCAAAATATTCCGCCAAACGTTCTCTTTGGATATGGTGCCATCCTTCATTTCACAATGAGTTTGTTGATGTGCTTGTTACGGTTTTCAAGTTTGAAGCAATTAAAAAAGAATCGGCTACTAAAACCGCAGATTCAGACGATATAGGCAGTAACGAGAATGTTACATTTAGTTCTAAAGTAAATCTTGAAAAGGTTAGACAACATTTTTTTAAAGAAAATATCTTTGCGAATAGCAATGTACAAATGTCTCTACTCAAAGACAAACTAGTTCGACATCGTATCATTGGACCGAATTCGCAATCTGTTCTCACCAATGTTTTAGAATTGGCTGAAGTTGAGGATGTTCATCAGCCAATTGAAACTGTCACAGCTGGTTCTATTAACAAAACGAACGGCAGCAATGACTGGTCAATTGATAGTGCAGCAAAAGATAATCAAACTTCAAAGAGTAAATCAAAATTGAAACATCCTTCTGATGATGATCATTACCCTGCACCAAAAAGAATTAAATCTGATTCTGTTACATCAAAAAATGCAGGATGCAACTCAGACTCAAAAAACGTGAATGTGTTATCATCTAAATTGTTCGTGAACGGCGCAGATACTGAAGCGGATTCAAACCACGTAACTGAGTTGGCTCATAATGAAACGGGTGATGGATCTTCGATGAAAAAACTTATAACCTCTGATAAAAGCAAAAAGTCTGAGAATCAGTTGTATGCTTTAAAAATGCAGTGCTGGTGGAAACAATATTACAACAGCGAAAAAGCAAAATCTGTGCATAGAAAAGGAAAACAGTTGTTGGAGTATCTGCGAAATATCCGTTCAGGTTATTACATTGCTCCGAACTCAGTTATTGGACTTACTGTAAAGGATCCCAGACTTATTTTAAGTCGAAATAAAGATAAATTTGTCACCACTAAAGGTATACTTCATGTTACTACTTTAATAGAATATTATTTATGAATTTAAATCAATGATCTAGTAAATAGATAACCTATATAAACTTGAGACTTTTATTTAAAATTTGTAATTAGAGCAGACGAATTGAAAAGTCACCCCTGTTTTATTCTAATTTTATAACTTTTATTTAGATGAAAATTTAAATTAACAAGGAACCACAATTATATCACAAATGGCATTTTTAGTAATCAGAGTCATTGGGTGCAATAATATTAAGCTGCTAGTTTTGAGCTCTTTTTGCTACCTAGCCATAAAAATACATTATATGTCAAATATTGTTTGAAACTTTTTTTAAAATTTGATGTTTTAAGATACATTTGTTTTTTTTAAAAAAAAAAATTATAATTGATTGAAATAAAACTGGAATACAATTTCACCAAAGATCTACTTTTTTGACATGATGGTAAAAACTATTAAAAGCCTTAATGTGTCAAAAACATGCCAACCCTGTTTCAATAAGAATAAAGTTGTTTTGTTTGATTTTTTGATGTTCATCTGCATGTTTATAAATAAATATGTATAAGGCAAACTTTTTTTTTTGTATTCATCTGAAACCTTGAAAAATTTATCTGATTGGTGATTAAGAAGTAAATTTTTGAGTAAAACAAATATGGAATTACTATTATTTTAGAGAGAATTATGAAGATTTTCTGAATATTGTTGTTAATGCAAATTTCATATGTTTGCAGATAGCAGTACTAAATAGAATGTTTATAAATGTATTATAATATGTATAAGATGTGTGTGTTTGTTAATATATGTGTCTAGTCTTTTTAAGGACTGCTGAATGTTTTTTGAAATAAATTAAGGTAGATTAATGAATCTATGTAATTTACAGACAAAATATCCCCACCACAATGAAAGAAACAATTTACTGATGAAGAAGTTTCTTAATTAAAGGTTTTTTTTAAATATTTTTTTCTGAATAACATTCTCAATTAGTAACTTTGTGGGAATTTTGTTTGACCCGGTTTTTTTTCCCTTTTTCTTTTGAAAAAATATACTTGTTATTGTAAATAATTACATTGAAAAAATTCTGTTTTATTAATAAAATGTATAAAATCTGTTTTATTAATTTCTGTTTTATTAATAATGTGCTTAAAATCTTTACATTGATTTTGCAAAACCTTTTGTTATTCCTATTTGAATAGATGGTGATGTTGGAAAAGATACTGTAGAATTATTAACTGAAGATATTGCTGATTCACCATTGTGGAATGGCAGCATTCGTGATGAGGTTACTGCAACACAAATTCCTGAAAGTGAGATAAATGATGAAAGAGCCCAATGTATTGTTCCTTCAGGTAGATAAACTGAGTCATTTTTATGTTGTTTATGTATATTTGTTATTCTATAAGTCTTGACCTTAGTAGTTGAAACTCTATAGCACTCTATATTCTGGAATGGTACATCTTGGTATAATTTATTATATTAATTTTGAACTAAATTTTATCTAAAACTTATTTTTTTCTGTTTAGCTATTTAGATACTTTAAATATGGATTTACACCATCTTCCATTTTAAGTATAGTTTCATGTTTCAAATTAAATTTAAGCAACATGCATTTCTTGTGTTTAATATTAACCTTTAGTTTTATAAAAATTGAAATCTACTATACATAGAACTTATCTTACAATTAGAACAATCTCTACCCGATTGTGTTTGGGTTGTAGACAAATTTTAATTTATGAAGATGTTACTGCAGATTGACTCAGTAAATTCTGCTACTGCGGTATTGACCATTATGGTACTTTCGTATATTTTTTTTTTATAACAATGAAATTTTTTTGTTAATATTTTTAATATACTTTAACCATTGCAATTCAATAATTTATTTTGGGGGGAAATAAACCAACTTATTATTTTTTTTATTGTATTGAATTTTTGTATTGAATTAATTGTATTATTGTATTGTAGTAATTATTTAGTATTGAATTTTTGTTATGCTTTTAAATTGTTATACTTTGTTTGAGGTACAAATTTTGGTCAAGGCAACTTTTGATTTTAATTAACTCTGCAATATTTTGATTTTAATAACTCTGTATTTAATAACATTAGTAAAACTACTAATAAAAGTTTTTTAGCTAAAAAAAATAAGAATTTTTTTTTTTTAAAAATCATTTTCAAAGTCTTTTATCCTACTTCAAAATATAATTATGATTATTAAATATTGCTGTATTTCCAGTAGTTTCTGTTTATTTATCATGCTTTAAAGTCATGAAAAATGTTTTTAACAGTGCTGAAACTGGAGTTTGTTTAATTTAACAAAACCAACTTCTTTAAATTTTTGAATTGTAGAAGCCTGTGTTATAAGAAAATTTGCAATAAGCACTAAACAATAGTTTGTGTTTAATTTTGTTAAAAAGCTCTTAGAATTTTCTGCACTTTTCGTTAACGCTATTTAGGATGACACCCATTGCAATGAATTTTCCATTTTGGAGCCATTACTGAAAATTCTATTTGATGGTTCAATAACCATTAAAAAATATGATCACACCTATTCATTTTACGAAATGTAAAAAAAAATAAAAAAGTTTAAATTTTTTTTTCCTTCTTCTCTCCTCTAAATTAGTGTTTTCACCATTCTAGGGAAATATTGAAAACATAGTGTCTGGAAAATTGATTTTTGGGGGAAAGGTCAGCTACTTTCTGAGAATAATGCATGTTTTAAATTAATGCTTGGGAAAATCTTGCAACAAAAATCTAAAAAATAACCATTTTCATTATTCTCAGGAAACTTAAAGTAGTCAATGATTTTCAAAATAAATAAGTCTAACATCTATCACTTATGTAAGAATTCTACTGCAGCATGGTTACATTTTTAGATTTAGGCATTAAGAGTATTTTTACAAAATACTGTTTGTTTAAACTAGGCTCCCACGGGTCAGGGGAAATCTAGAATTGTCAGGGAATTTTATTTTAACTCTAGAAAGCGTGGAATAGACGGGGAAAGTCTAAATTTTTTTACAAAAATACCTGGAATATTCAGTATTATTCTCGTTCTATTATGTGTATTTGCTCTCTCAATCTTATATTTGACATTACAAATATAAAAAAAATGCAAAGTTTTCTGATGAAAAATTGCATGATATAGATAAAATATGGTACGGATTTTCATTGAAATTTACCTGATATACCTGAAAATGTCATGGAATTTTGTTTCTAAAATTGAGTAGGAACCCTGAAAAATTTCGTATTTTAGATCTCTTAACTTTAATAATATTTGCTATTAAATAAAACTGTTCACTAGGCTAGTAATAATTGTTTTTAAAAGTTAAGTTTCAGTATAAACTAATTTTGTTTCTTTATAATAAGTAAGCTATATAACTGATGTTACTTTATTAAAAAATTATAAAACATAGAGATTTTTTAAAGTATTTCGTGGTTTTTCTGCATAATATTGTTTTGATATTCAATTTATATGCTTGTCTGTTATAAGAATCTATAAGTTCGCCTAGTAAAAAAACTTTGCAAATTGTAATATTCAACTGAAATCAGCATTTTTTGGGAAAACTTTCAAATATTAGAGAATTTTATTTCTGAAATTTTGTAAGAGCCCTGTGAATATCCACATAACCACCTTGTTTGCTTCTTATACAAATTACGTTGTTAGATTATTGATGTTTCTTTATAACACATATCATCACTATATTATTACATTCAACATAGGAACACTATAATTTCATAATAACATTTAGTTTATTAGTTTTAAAATGTGTTGTATTTTTCAGAGTCTAATAATCTTGGTGATAAAGAATCAAGAGTTCCCATTTTACTCATTCACCAGCCTGGAACAAATGGTAAGAACTTCTGAATGTTAATGATTATTAAAAGTGATATGTATTAGGATAAATTGTATATTTATATACTACATAATTTTTTATTTTATAATTTATTTAATACGAACTGCTTGTTCATTACAATCTTATTTCTTTCTCTGTAACATGTAATTATGATTTAAATTCAGGGGAATATAGAAACAAGCTTTTGTGTCCAGTAAATTATACTTTTAATCCAATCAATTTTTTTCTTAGTTTTGTTTCATTTAGTTCAAATTGTTGTTTCAATGTGAGTAAGTAACTATCTTTACTATAAGGATACACTTCAGTTCTTTAGTTGAGGACCACAGAGAAAACCTTGAGTTTTAAAGGCCTCAATGAGTTAATTTATTTATCAATTGATAACTTTTAATTTTTTTTATAGTAGTCAGTGTTTTGTAAAAATTGAAATAAAAATATATTTAATATTACAACAAACTATGTGCATCTAATTTTTACTTAGTATCTTTATAATATTTTAGAAGTTAAAAATATTTGAAACTATGCACACTTTTTTTTAAAAGAAAAAAATAACGAAATTAAATTGCAATTTTCTAACTCTCTCTGCGAAAAACATAATTTTATAAATATATATATTTTTTTAGTGGGAATAAAGTACATTTTCACTTGTAATTGAATTTTTGAACTAAATGGTATTTTTAATACTAAATGTTGAAAGATTTAAATATTTTGTCACCTTGAATTAATGCCTCTAAATTTTAGAATTATAATGTTTTTATATTTTTTATTGCAAAGTTTGTTAAAGGTTATTTGAAAAACAGGTATAAAATTTCATTTTCCTATTTTTCATTTCTTTCATATGTAAGTTTATATAAAAAATAATTTTTTGCTGTAATGCAAGGGACTGTATTTGATCCCCATGCTATAGGTTCTGCAACTCTAATCTTTACTCTTTAATTTCTAATTTGATTTGCGCATTGTATCATTCCTAAGCCCATTTTTACAATTTAATGCAGGTTTTGGATCTGGCTGGGATCTAATTGCTCCTCTTGGTTGGAGTATGGCTTTTTGGATTCCATTAGTTCTTAATGGTGGCAGAGTTACAGGCATCAGAGATCTTCATTTTGTGAATCTAGAGATAGGTAAACCTAGTTACCCTTTAAGTTATCCTGACACAAAAGCTGGCAAAACATATGAAGAAAAACAGAGAGTGGATGAACTCACAACTTATTTTAAGCGACCCAAAGCTAAACGACCTAATTTTGCAACTTTCGGCACTCCCAATCCCTACTTTATGCCTTGGGATGTTCTTGTTGTAGATTGGTTAAAAGAATTGAAATGCAGCAACAGTAATATTTTGTTCCCATTGAACAAAGAAAACTCATCAAAAAATTTTAAAGTTGAAATTTCTGAAAAAGACCCAAAAAATTCATTCTTTGTGTTAAGACAAAAAGAAGTGAGATTGCTTCAAAATTTATGTGAGCGATTGAGTCGATTACCCCGTGGGAACAAAGCAATACGAGAAATCGATGCCTTGAAGCAGCTTTACAATGAATTTGTACTATCTAATCTTAGTTCTGAGAAAGAACTTAAAAATTCTTTAGTACTCATTAGGACTAAATGCCTAACCAGAGGTTGTCCATCAATACATTCAGGTGTTTATGCGCTTGATGAAGATGATTTTAGAGAGCTGAAGTGCAATCCTAATTTTTTGGGCCCTAAAGAGCACAATCATACTAAGTCCAAAAATGTTGATAAATTAAACAGTGACTGCTCATCAGTGTCAAAAGTTTCAGGTGATGGGCTTGTAAATAAAGAACCTGGTGACTGTCATATTTCCTCCTCATCAGTGCCAAAAGTTCAAGATTCAGATGATGGACTTGTAAAAAAATCTGATGAATGTCAGATTTCCTCTGAAAATCAGATAGATTCCAAAAGCTTAGATCGACCTCTGACAGAGACTTTAAAATCATTCTCTTCTCGCAAAATGATTGGCTATTTGTCGGAGGGTGGCTTTTCCAGCATATCAGGCAAAGGCTGTGGTATTGGACACTGTAGTTTAATTGGTTTGCTCTTTGTGATTAGAGACTGTATTGATCGCCAAATACGACCGGTAGTTCTTGTACGAGAACAACATAGTTTTCAATACAGAGTATCATCCCTTGAAATAATTCCAAATTATTTATGAAATGTATGAAATAAATTTTTCTTACTAAAATTGTGTTTGTTTGTTGTATATTTTTTCTACTGAAGGGTAAAAAATGTTATTCTTTTTATGGAGCAACATTTTGGGACAAATCAGAGAATTTCATGGTTTTAAATACTGAATTTACTGCTTATACATTTCCTATATTTTTGAATGGAAAGAAGAGTCTATAAAAATCTGATTATTAGATCAAAAGCTATTAAAGGTGGCTTTCTCCCCATCTTATTGTAACGCTGTACGCATAAAGGCAAAGATAAAAATAAACAAAACAGTTTTTTTTAATCATTATCTGCAAGAAGCTGAAATATATGTATGATATACTAGCAAAACATTAATGTTTCATTTACTCAATTATTTTTTAAATATTTTTCACCTGATGTTTAGTACTTTTCAACATGATTTTCATATAGCTAACAGAATTTTTTTATGCAAGAAGCTCATGAATTTTTAAAAAAAAATGGTAATAAATTCAAATAAATCATTAAAACATGAGCCTCTAAAAAATTTATTTTAACTTTGAATGTAAGAGAAACTTATTGTTACGCGACTTAAATGTTATACCAACTACAGTGCATATCAAAATGATAGATCCACACTTACTTTTGTTTCTTAATTAACAATAAAAAAAAAACTTTCATAGTAGAGATGCTCTTATAAATTCAGGATGCGTAGCGTTTTTAAAAAGTGCTTAAAGATGCTTAATTTCGATTTTCGTTTTTTGAAAGCACTTAAAGGTGCTTTTTTCATTGGGTCATTTTCCCTTTTTTTCCGTTACCATGTTGAATTATACTGAAAAGACACATTTGACATTGTTCTATTCACGGTTTTCACAATTCAACCCCAATCTATTTTGGCGTATTGTCAGTCCATAGCGTATGAAAACGCCATTCGTTTTACATGATTCAAAATTTCATGATTTTTGACAATTGTCAAAAACAATGCCAAATTTTTTTAATTTTTAACATGACGGTTAAAACAAGATAAAACCGTCAATTGTCAAAAACTTTTCAACCCTGCTCAGTTATATATTTTTTAAAGTGCTTAAAATGTGCTTATTTTTTGTTGAATAATTTGGTTACGCACCCTGAAATTGTTATAACGATTTAGGATGCAATTTGTTAAAATAAATCACTCTTTTTTCTTTTTTTTCATTTTGAGGCCATTTAAGAAAATAAGTCTACGAATCTGAGTTAATATCAAGATCTTATTGTGGAATTATACTGGCTGCCGTGGATGAATTTAATAGGTTTGTTGTAATAGACTTGAATATTGCATTGTGGTCAAATGAATTGGGCTAATGTAACATTAAGTTACAGCCTTTTTCTCCTTGTGTGGTTAGAAGTTGATGCTTTCAATGAGTTTGGAAAATTGAATAGTAGAATGGCTAAACTTTTAAATATATTACACAATCTTGCACTTCATCTATTTTTGACGGAAAAAAAAACGCTTTAGCAATAAATGTTTTTTAATGTAAATTCATCACTAATTGTGTACTTGTTTCTGGATTCATAATGCAATGAAATACAATAGAAGATCTATAAAACATAATCCTAAATACAAATCATAATTCTCCATAAATCATTTTAACTTTGCAAGTGTAAACAGTGAAAATCATATTAAAGAAATTTCTAAAGCTGAGCAAAATCCAATAACTGCTCATAGTCTGCAAGAAATTTTTTTTCAAAGAAGTAAAAATATCTTATGCCAACCAAAAACTGAAGTTTAAGCATTTTTTTGTTGATAATTTTAATGCTCTTGATAATTTAATTCTCTGTAAAAAACACTTATAGTTTGTCTGTGGAAAGAACTCTCCTCACCACGATGTCTAAAGTCGCTTGCTGCTATGGGGAAAAAAATGGCACGTTTCAAAGAGGGGAGCTTCTTTCTCCCTTTGATTCCATTTCTCTCGAAGAGCCGAAGTCTGTCTAAAATAATGGCTGAATTCCCTACTTGAAATAGTTAAACCATAGTGACTGCCACTGCTGCAGAAGATTGGGTTGAGGAGTTCTTTACGTAGACAAACTAAGTACTTGTTTTTGTGTATTAAAATAATTTGCATCGAAAAATTAGATTTAAAACATATAAATAGTGATTTGTTCCAGATATATATTGAAATGTTTAATAAGTAAGCTATACGATATGTGACGCAGAACCAGCAGTTTCAAGGTATGCATTATAAAGATCTTATGTAATTTAAATTTTAGAGATAATGCTATAAATAGTGTAATTATAGTGATAGTGATATTGCAGTCAAAGATTATATATGAAAAGACTATTGTAAACAATTTATTTTATTTTTAACAGCAATACATTAAACAGTTGTACTTAGAAAGCGAACAGATATGCTCAGTTTACTTTGTTACTGTTTTTATGTTTGAATATTAATCATGCATTTATAGAGTACGCATCACACATGCTTTTCATGGTTCAAGTTATATTTGTTTGTGTTCTTGCAGCAAATCACAAAAAGCTCTGACTATCACAATTATACATCAACAACGATGCTTAAATAAACTATTCATCGCCAAACACATGTTTCAGCTCTTTGTAACCAATTAAAATGAAAATAACATATATTTTATATTGAACATAATGCAATGCTTATGAATATATATACAGGGTTATTCATAATTCCCTCTGGGATTTCGAAGCGTTATAGTAAAAAAACGAAGACGAATATGGCTAAAAAGAACATGAATTATTCCGAAAGTATTCAAGTTTTAGTTTAAGCAGTTGCCAGTAGATGGCAGTAACATGTACCACTGAAGCCAGTTGTAGTAAAGAAAAATGACGCTTACAGGCGGAGAGAATTATGAATAACCCTGCATATATATATATTTATAAATGCAGCAATGAAATAAAGGGTTTATGTAATAAGTCCAAAAAAAGATTTGGGTTAATGAAACTTTCTTGCTTTTGCTATAATTCTTGAAAAATCATGTCAAAACAAAATTTCACATCTAAATTAAAAATAGGATGCCTACTTAGACCCGTTTCTCCATCTTAACTTCCAAAAAGTCGCAGATGTAATAATAGAATTGATGTCTAGCTATAATAAAATGGCTTCCCCACATATTGAACCGTCGTAGCCACTTTTATAAACCTAGATATTACTTTTCTGATTATAATTGCAGCAATAATTTTGCAGTAAAGACGGGGAAAACAAATTTTAGTTGGCGCATGGTGTATTTTTATTACGATTATAAACTAAGGTAACAACAAATATGTTAAGCACCCTAACTTCTCAGAAAAACCATTAAAAAATTACTTGATAAAAGTTTGCCACCTTTTTTTAATAATAAGCCTGCAACAACCCTGCTTTTGTTGATTAATATTGTTATATTGTTTCACATTAAACTCTTTAACATATTAATTTATTGCAGAGCGTAGGTTTCTTTCCTTGTTAATTTTTTTAAGAACTATTTACACAATTAAGTAAAGCTTACAAAGCATTACAAAGAAAATACATATACAGGCATGTTTCTTAAACTAGCTATTTATAAATATATCATTTTAACTTTTTTTATTTTTAATCAATAATTACATTCAGTATGATTCAAGCTCTTGGGATTGTAACTATTTTTCATCCAAAATAATTAAATTTTAGCCATTTCATTTCTTTTTCAAACATATTTGATTATAATTAAAATTTTCCTTGTGAGTTGCTACTCATTATTTGGAACTAATGGTACTAACCAGAGTTACAAAATAATGTGTATATTTTTTTCATAAATTAATTCACACTATGAACAAAAGCAAGGTTTAAATTCAAAACTAGTTTATAAAGTATGTTATTTTTTTATATGAACACATATAAGTTACTAAACAATATTTTACAATGTATCATATAAAAATACAGTAATAATTTTTTTTTTTTTTAAATTGAATGAAATCATCATTGTTAAATTTTTAACTTTCTGTTAGTTCAGTGTTTCAAATTATAGAGTTAAACAATATACTCTGTATTTTAGAACACTGTAAATTCTGTAAATAAAATTGATAAAAATCTTACAATAAACTCTTTAATACATTATATCAATAATAATATCATTAATCAATTACTGCTTTAAATAAATTATAATTACATTTGTGGTTTATAATAAATATTACACATATCATTTATCAAAAGGTGTCAGTATTTGATAGAATTACTAAATGTAATTGTTTTGTTTTCATTTCTTAAACATTGATCCGTAAATATTATTTTATATTTTATGCATCAAGAAATGATTAGGGCATAGTTAAGGTTGAATTACAAATGTCTTGAATCATTATATTTTATAAAATTAAGTTCTACCACTCATTATAAATCATATTCTTATAAAATGTATATAAAAAAATCTTTATCATTTGTTCTTCAAAGACAGTATTTTTTTTTATATAAAGAAAGAAAAACGAAGTGTGTGGTACTGTTGATTGAAAAAATAAAGTTTGCGGATGTATTGATTTTTAAAAAATTTGATTCTCAAACTGTGAAATAAAATTTATTTATAGATTTTAAATATTTTGTGCAATTTTCTTTAACTGTTCGCTTTAATTTAAATAATGATAAAATTAAAAAAAAATTATAGAAGGGACTTGCACTTGGATTTTAAAATCCTTTGGTAGTTCTGTTTTATAGTATGAGAGGTAAATTTTTGAAGAAAAAAAGTTTCATAAAGTGCCTCAGTTTTTAATAAAATTTAGTTTTTTTCTTAAATTTCACACAATTCAAGCATCATTGTCAAACTAATAATATTTGTACCTATTTTTTTTAATTTACATTTATAAAATTATATGATGTGATAACACTATCATTTATAAAATGCTTAAAGATTAGAGAAATTTGACTCTCAACATCAATTGAGCCTTAATGCAACTCAGCTTTAAATTTTTCAATATCAACTCTTAACAGTTGAGGTATTTTTAACTGTAATTCGCATGTTTACTACAAGTTTAGCTACGTAGTAAATGATAGTTAAGATTAGTAGCAGAATGGTCACAACCAGGAAAAATTTAAAAGTGGTAGTGAAAGTTTGAAGAAACTAATTGTTTTTAATGACTAACTCAATTCCTGAAATTAAAGTGAAAATTAAAACTATTAAGACTCCCATTAGGCTCATGAAACGCTTGTCATCCCTTTTTCAAAATATTGTAGCCACGATGGTGGGTAAAGTAAACTATAGATATAATTTTTTTTTTTTTTTGACCGATAATGGGCGCACTTGTTAAGTAGTACTTCCCCTCACATTAACTTTCTGTTTTGTACAAAAACAATCGCAACTAAAACAGTGAAACCTGTTAGATTGATCACTACAGTATGTTGATCACCTGTCTGAGTTGTTTTTAATCATCAAGTACCAAACTGATAAAAAATAATTAGAATTCCCGCTTTTATAGGTTGGCCACTTGTCTAAGAGGACCTTCAAATTGTTATCCTCCAAGTGGTCAACTTACTGAGGCTTCATCGTAACTTATTCTATGCAAAAACAAATATTTCATTAACTGCTGTTATTTAGAATGGCACCGGCACGTAACTTTTTTTTCCTACAATTTACAATCTGTTCGAATTTTGTGACAAAACAAATACTATTACAATAAGGTTTTGTTCATGGTCTTTGAAAATATCATTTTCAGTCATATGGTAAAGTTACACAGGTTTCATTGCAATTTATTCTATGGAAAAACAAATATTTTAACTACTACTGGTATTTAGAATAGTAAATTTTATAATAAAATAAAAAAAATACTGCAGTTGTATGCTTTGTTCATGACCTTTCAAACTATCGCAATAATTTTGATCGGCAAAATTTTCCATTGATATTGGATACAGTGAAAATACAGTTTAATGCTGGTACATTTTAACTTTTGTTACTTTTTATTGAAAAAGAATATTAACCTTTTTCTTATCATTCATTCAGTTATACCGAATTTAAATGCACTTTTTTAAAAACTTAGAATGGGGAAAAATTAAGAGCGTGCTGCCCAAACACTCTCTCAAAGTTGGCGTGCACCTGTTCTTTTTTATAGCATCGAGGTACCTCCGTTCCAATTGACAACTGAATTCTATTTACTAGAGACATTGCTTCAGAATTGCAATTAATTACTGCCATACTTATGATTCCATTCGATTCGCCTGGAAATTCAGCCACCAAGTTGCCCAAGAGTTCTTCGGCAATGCTGGCTTCATCTGCGTACAGTGGTCCGACGAGAAGTGAACCTTGGACGTTTTTCTTCAGGCAGCCATAGCCACACACTCTCCCAGTGCCATCTCTAACAGCTGCCAAAGTTAGACTGTCCTCTTCAGCTGTTGATAGGGTTACTATTTTCGAACGATCGTACCCATGAACTGATGCATCGTAGTTGATGACAGCTGGAAGAACCGATGATCGAATTTGCACGATCTGTAAAATAAATTAAATGAAATATCCTTTAAAACATACTTTTACATAGAAAGATTACAGAGGGGAACAATCTGGTGTAACGATTTTAAATCTGAAATTAGTTTCGTTCGTAAAGCTACATATTTTTACTTTAGTTTATATTTTGCCTGGATGTATAACTTTAATGAAAACGTATAACATGCATGTACACTTATGTTCCCCTTTAAAAATAAGACTTAAGGCAAAAAAATTATATGATCTTAACTCCTCGCATCATAAACTGAAATGTATTATTACGTTCTTCCTACCACTTACTATGTAGCAGAGACACCAAGGCCGGATTAACCATAAAGCAAACTAAGTACGTGCGTAGGGCACCAGAGGATGGTGGGCACCACAAAGCCTAACTAAATGTTCCCAATACATAATTTTTTTTTCGAAGCATTGTTTATGAATTTAGTATTTTGAGCTTCCATTTTAAGAGTAGTGTTTTAATAATTTTTCTAGATAACAGCATTTCTAAATAAGAATTTCTTCATAAAAAAAGAAGAAGAAAAAACGAAAGATGTTATGTATAAAAAATTCTTGTTCTTATAATGAAATTAGGTAAATGTCAAAATATTACCTTTATAGTAACCTATCACGAATGTGGGTTTTTTCCGTACTTTTCCTTATTTATCTATTTTTGTTGTTGTTGTTTTGACGGAGCATTTTAAAGTCTTCTTAAACAAAACCTATGAAACCAACTCTGATAGAAAGAATATTCTTGTTTAAAAGTTGGTTGGCATCAAGGAAAAAAAAATCAACCCTGTCAAGCCATTTAAACAAGGGTACTTCAATGGCTAATTATGAGCTAGAATAAAAAATTCAGCATTCAAAAGTCTTAAAAAACGAAGTTTTTCCTTTGTTTTTCAAATCTATTTTTTTAAATATGCAAAAGAATTTTTTGTTGTTGCTAATTTGCAGTGCTATTTTATTAGCACATTCTTTTGCAAGGAGCTACAATAGTCTAACATGTCATTTGTAACAAAAATAAGTAAGTGGACCGAATAAAGTACTATGACCTAAAATTTTTAGAAACAGTTAAAAAAACATATACATAAATATAAAGGGAATTTTTTAAAAGAAAAATATTACAATTTACATCCTTTGTACTTTGTTAATTGATTAAAACGTAATTTGGATATTAAAATTTTATTTACTGTATTTTTCATTAGCGAATATGAGAGTGAAAACACAAAAAAAAGTTACTCAAAGTTGCCAGTTCTCCAAATAATTGGTGATTGAAATGGGCTACAGGTGGCTTAGAGCAGAACTGTCTACCTATGGCAACACTTCGCATGCTTTCACCATACGCGTGTGGAGAGTCATAGAAGAAGGAAGTGCGTTAGTTTCTGTCTTGATTTTCAAAAAGATTAAAGTCTTTTAAGTTTGGAAACTATTATGGAACATAAGACTACATTAAACACAGTTTTAAAAGAAAGCGTCATGGAAATTTGAAAAAAATATTTTTAACAATTAAATACGGAAAATATTAAGAAAAAGAAAAATATCGTAGTACATTCCTATACAACTGAAAAGAGAAGGAGAGGGAAGGGTTAAAGACATGGAACCGGTCTTCTCTCCAGATGGCATATTCGAGCATTGAGATCGTCTATAGCGCACAAATCTAGACAGAATGCCCTGGTTCATCTTAATCAGAATATTCCAAAAACATTTTTTTTTAAATACTTATTCCTTATTAGAAGAAATAAGTGATAGACTTAAATGGATTACGTACCTGTATACCTTCTAGCTGTCTTTTCTTGTCAGCGAATTGTGGTACGCCCTCACAAAAAAGTGTACACCAGGGTGCGACAATCCGGAATCCCGCTAAGTCTCTATATGTGTGCAAATGTTCAGGAACAGAGTTGAGCCCTACGTTCCTCTGTCCAACATGTTCCATGGCTCTTTTCCATATGGACAGTCCGAGTCCCTTGCCTCTATGAGACTTTTTGACTGCGTACAGACCCACAAATGCCAGACGGGAATGAAGTATCACAGCAGCGCAAACACCTAGAACTTCTTCAGAGGAAAATGTGGAATGAAACATATGTACAGATTACAGTAAATCATGAATGTTACATTTCTATTTAGCAATCTAAGAATGATGTTATTGGGTACTTGCACTTCAAGAAGAAGACCTCCCATACCCACTCATGTGACCTATGACGTCAGCGCCAGCTAATCTTTATCAGCTAAATGGCTTATTAAAGTTGAGCTAAGTTTCTCTAGATAAGTTAGAATGTTATTTAACGATTAGTTAATTGATTACAGAGTCGTATAGCACACCGATTAGTTGAAATATAATTCTTCCTCGTCTACTTCTTTTACTTAACTTAGATTTATTATTTATGAATTTTATTGTAACCTTGATAATTTTTGTTTTGTGTACCTGGCAACTTCGATGCATAATTAGTCTGTTTACGTTCCTGAAGGCCTGTCTTTGTGTTAAGTCTCTGTGTATACATATAGTGAAAGAATTGAAATCTTAGAGAAGGAATCTTTGTGAAAGAATTTAGAATGTGTCCAAGGGCGCCGGCAGAATAATTAAAAAGGGGGTGCAACCCTTTGACAAACTACCCAGCCCCCCCCCCTAAAAAAAAAGGAAATATTCTGTTATTACATTTTGTTTTGTTATTACATATACTTTCATCTGTTAATTTTTTTCAAGATACATTTCCTCATTGTTAACAAGATATTTAAAAAAAGTACGAATTTCATGTACTTGCGAATTTTGCCACGAGAAACTGTACTGATGGTGCTGGCATAGCTATTGACTTTGAAGCACAAATACTACAAATAATAGTCGTATGCTAACGTGTTTGTGCACGCTTAACATTGGTATTTATTGTGTTTATGAAGTTTTACAGTTGTGAGAAGTCAGTTTGTGTTATGCACCTTTGTTAATCTAAATAACTAATAGAAAATATAATATTATTTATATTTTATTAAAGGGAATTTAATAACATAGCTTAGATATCTGCCAAGTTTGTGCATGCTCAGTGTGCATAAGAAAAGAATCAAAGATGACTCAGAATTAATTGAAAAAGTTATAAACAGATTTGGACAGCAAACATGACGATTACAATTCTTGTTTGATTAAACAATTTTTTAATTGTAATGTATCAATCAATAATTACTTAATTATTTGTTTTTGAATAAAAATATATTTAAAAATTGTTTTTCTGTATCTCTTTAATTGTTCAAACAAAAAAATGCCAGAGAGGTGCAAGTGCACCCTCTTGCACCCCACTGCCGGATCCCTTGAATGTGTCATTTAAGAGAATTGATACGTGACGGGCTTAGCTTACTCGCAATAGAATGGAAAGAACAGTTGCTAACGTAAACAAATGCCACATTTCAACAACGAATCAGGATCGAGATACCCACACTAGATCACTTGCAGGTATCCCATTAAAGCTCGCATTTCGAGTTGTTATTATTTTAACACTGCCGTTTATTTTTTTACATCTTAACGAATGTGAAAAGGAGTATACAGGATAATTTATTAACGACCGACTTTTTACTATGTAGTGTATATTCATCCTCTTTTTTATCTTGTTTTCTTGAGATTATAAGTTATATTCTATGTAGTTCGATGAGGTTGCGCAAGATGTTTTTGATATCTCTCCTTTTAAATTTTTTTACAAGCTTTTGAAGTTCACTTTCCCATTTTTGAAGAAAAAAGTGTCCTTTGAAGCTTATACAAACTTTTAAAATCACAATCAATCATCCTACAATATCAAATAAAAGAATTCGAGCATTTATAATCTTATGAAAACAAAATGGAAATAGGATGAATGGTTTACGAGGTTATTATACGTTGAAAAATATTGGCTTCTAGCAAATATAATTATTCTTATGATATTCGTTGGCCGTTGTAACTTCAAATGCCTAATTCCAGAAATTATTTTAACTCATTATTTAACTAACAATAAGTTTTTTAAAAAAATCATGATAATAAGCAATAAGACTGACTTAATTAGGTGTGCTGCCCCCGATTCACATAAATTTGGGAACTTCATAAACAAAGATGGAAGTTAAGGAATGAATCTGTTTAATTATAGCTAAAGGTGGATGTGTTGTAATCAATTTATGAAATAACGGCATTATATAGAATGCCTTTTGCAAAGTGTAAAGTATCAATATTTTTTATATTTTAACAGTTTGCCATTAATTATTCAATGAAATTTCCTGGCAAAGAGTGAAATATGAATACTAATTTTATAATTTAACAGATTGTCATTATTAGTCTTTCTACAAAAATCCTAGGCAATGAGTGAAATCATTTCATATTTTGCCGGTTTATCATTAGTCATTCTACGATATTCCAAGGCCAATACGTGAAATTATAATCATTTTATACTTTGGTGGTTGTTTTATCATAAGTCATTCTTTAAAAATCCCAGGCAATGAATGAAATATTAATATTTTCATATTTAGCCGATTTGTCATAAGTGATTAATGAAAAAAAATCGATTTCATGATTACAGATCCAAATTAGGAGCTTTTCATATTACAAATATAATATGAATGTTTCGTTTTTCCAAAACTATTTAAAGAAATAATTATAGCACCAGTTTTTTTTTTATCTTGGCAATAAATAAATAAATAAAATATGTAAACAATTTAATTATAAAATAAAATAAAAAAAGAATAAAATATTAATAATAAAAGAAAAAATAAAGTAAAATATTTATATTAATATGGGTGCATCTCAAACAAAGAAACATTTTTTTTTTTAAATTCGCTTTTTATATAATACTACTACTTTGTTAGTTTAATTATTTCTCTTTCTTTTTTTTTAATTAGAAAATATCATCTGCATCGCAATTGATTTGCAGGAATTTAAATTAAAAATAGCATTTTTTACTCTGCGTAGGAAATATAATATTATTTTTGATATTTTTATTCTAATATGGTTAAAGAGGCATCAAATAGTTTCAATAGGAAACATTAAAAAAATGTTTCTGATCAAATAATGTTTTTTACTCTCGCCTTAATTTTCAAATCTTCTAATTTTTTAAAAGAATTTTTGTATGTTGTAATAACAGCAGATGCTCTTGCTCCACTTTGTAGAAATTTTCTTCTAATATCAAAAAAATTTTGTTGTGATTATTATAATGCTTTTGCCAATTTGATTTAAAGTCATTATTTCTGTCACTATTTATAAATGATTAAAAAGTTTTTATCGAACGTTGTTTTTTTTAATTTATTTCGTCGTGCTAAACCATTTTAAATTGTTACAAAAATAAATTTTTTAGCTCTCAACCATTTAAAAAAAATCTATATATTTTGCAGAAATCAGAGCGTTTGGCATCTCTGCAGTAGTATAAAAATGGCAAAATAAATATACCCGAGCTCTATTTAGTGTAATATTGTCAGAAAGTGGTTTTGTTATTAGTTATAAGATGATTACTCGTTCTTCGTAGGTGATCAATAAATCAGTAAATGATCAATAAATCAGTATGAATCAAGATTACGAAATCATACACGAAACTGAAAAGCATATATCAAGTCAATTATTTTTTTTAAAAGAAATTATTCTAATTTATTTACATATACATTATTTGATGCACTTTCCAGTGGCTTTACGTTATTAGATTAATCAAAACACGTATTTACCCCACCAAGATAAAGATTAACTGCATTCAGTATCTTTGGCATGGAGCTGAATGATTCTTAACATATTAACACATTATCATGAATTGCTTTGCGACCGATTCATGAAAGTCAACATTTGTTGTTGTGGCTTATCCTCCAATGCCTGACGAAGTCAGACAAGGTTCATCAGACCGTTGACCCTAAGGAAATCGAGGACCAGAAGGGGAGATAAGTATATGTCCTCTCTGGAAAGTCAATATTTACCACAATCAAGTAATTAATTCAGTATTTATCCCTTTCGGAAGCCATAAAAATCTATTACTATAGTACCGATATAAGGCCGGGATAGCCTAGTTGGTAGGGCACTGGGTCCATGTTCAAGAGGTCGTGGGTTCGATCCTTGTTCGTCGAAGACTCCCCGTGAAGTAAATAGTGACCGATGCTCGTTAAATCTGTCGAGTCTCAAAGTCCTCCATGCTCCCATAACAAATCATACCTCTGGGGATACTGGTCCAGGAATTTCCTTATCCTCTGGATTGGTTCAAAATTACAAGGCTACGGAGTTGAACATCAGTAGTCGTAAACACGAAACGTCGGCTGTTCAACGACGGTTATAAAATAAATTATTGTACCGATATTAAAGATCTATATTTGTATATTTGGTATCTATTAAAAAAGCACATATTGTATCAATAACATTATAATATGCTAATTGCCAAAACTAATTATTCATCACTGGCGTCCATGGGCTTTACGGCTTTATGAAACAAATGAGTATACGTTTTCCATGAAATTTCCTTCTTTAGTATATAACTTAATTTTTCAATTTCCACAAAGTTTTTTAAAAATCCCTTTCAAAAGCGTAATTGCAAACAAAATAAAAACGTTGCTTCAGATAACTTTTAGGAATACTAATTTTGTGACATAACATGCCATCCACGTTACCTGATTCGACGTGTCTTACCTGACGCAATAAATAAAAAATAATTAACTGTTAAAGAACGTAAATAAATTCCTTTTGTTTTATTCGATTAAATAGAGTTGGAAAGCTAACAAACATCACTGAAATAAATTCATCCAAAGTTAAGTCACTACAATGGCTAATGCTAAACCATTGGGAAAATTCTATTTTCCAAACATCTCTCCCAAATGACCTAACTGAAATTTTTGAACAATTTTTAGGATCGGGAAATAAATTTTTTCCGTTCACTCGCTGTCCAAATTTTAAATTTTAAAACGATATCAAAATTGTTCCCGAATTATAGGAGAGACACACATATGTTTCCTTTTATTAATATAGATAAAGATTTTCTGTATAAAAAATACAATTTTTTTAAAAAAATTCTTCGTATTTATACATTTGACTGAGCTATCTAGACTAGTGAGGTATAGTTTTCTGAGTAATCGCTTAGAAGTTA